TCTATGATCTAGTTTTCACTTCTTCCACTGAAGTCAAAAAGGGAAGAAAGAGAGGAAAAACACATTTTTATTTCTTGAATAAGCCTGATACATTAAGTCTAATAGAGGAACTGAAATTTCAGCTAAGCCTAAGCATGGTCTTGCCAATCCCCAGAAATGATATGAAAGTAGGAATGTCATTTCACATAAACACACTGAATTAGTGAGTTTGCAGAAGACATGAACTTCCTCTACTCTTCCTCACACACATTGCAAGCATAGACGGAGACATGAATCTGAAATCTTTCTTTTCGGAGATGTTTGAAGCTATCCACAGTTTTCCATTAGGAAAAACAATCCTATGTGGAGACAGTTATCTGTTCTGGCCAAGACAGTTTATAACTAGAAAGCTACTGAACAGTTATATTAGTTACAAAATGAAAAGCATTCTTATGACCAACAGCAATAAAATGTGTCTTGGCCAGAACAGATAACTGTCTCCACATAGGATTTTTTTTTCTTTTTTTTTTTTTGTAAGACATATTTTATTAAGAAGTTTTGTTGCCAAAAGTGTTATGAATCCACATGGCCTGTATTCAACTCATTAACTTCAGACACCTGCATCTCATTCAAACTCCTTGCATTATCACTGGAGAAGAAAGAGTATTGCAGAAGACACTTTTCTCCTCAAATACAGCTATCTAAAACTGAGAGATGAAATGAACTTCGGAAAGGTAAATYTTCCTTCATGGATTTAACAAGTGAAATGGTAGAGAGAGATTCTCCCGCATCACACCTATAATTCTGGGGATTAACAAAAAAATTACATTTGTTGGTGACGAGTCATGTGGAAGGAATTATTTACTCATTGATTAAATAGATTCTGATAATATATACGGATGCATTTTGTGTACATTACCAACATTAGCATAAAGAAGAAGCATCGGAGAAGTCAAAATTATTCCAAAGTAGGGCATATTTACCAGAAACACAGGAAGGAAAATCCATGTGACCATCAACACACGTCATGMCTGAACTGTTGGTGAGTTGGTATCCCGGCAGGCACATAAATTCCAGCTTCTGCCCGYTTTGAATCAAAAGTGAGCGGATTCGGCCATTGGAGAGAAGCAGCTTTTTGGCTTCCAGCTGCTGTTTTGTAATGGAACAGGGAGCTATAAGAAATGGAAAATGATGTGGCATGAACCGTTGGTGGCTTTTAGCTCATCTAGCACCTCCTGAGCTATTCTAAAAATTAAATAGACACATCACTTACCCACACCCTTCACCTCTAGCACAACACATTCAAAATGTTTAGTGCAAGACAGAGAGTCAGTGATACGGCACGGCTTAAAAGCGTGTTCTGGTYCACGCTATCAAAGACGACTTTAAAGACCATAAACACTGGTGATGATCTCAAAATGCACTGATTTCATGAGACTGCAATAATCTAAATAATTCATTGATGGGAGTAAGCAGTGGGAGTAAATATGCATCTCCACCACCCAAGATCAAAAATGAACGATGCAGGATTTTAAAGTAGGAAAAATGCAATGAGACAGCAAAGCAGCTTATCACATAGTGCTGCTCCTCTGCATAGGGGCAGCTGGGCGTCTACAGAAAAGCAGGTCTTGGTAGTACACTACTCCTGGCATTACACACATGGCAACAAAGCAAGGAATGTGAGCCCAGTTCTGAAAGTTGTRCTTCAAGAATGATTGCAATTGCCTACTCCTAAGAAGTCAGCGAGCAATAAAAGCTGTCCTTACCCAAACACTGTGGCGCTGCAGGTGTCCAGACTCTCTCACGGCATGTCACCCATTCTGAACCTGATAATGTGTACCCGGGGTTGCACGTGTACTGCACGCTGTCATTTTCCTCATATTCTGCTTTATTTCCACTAGCAACTTCRCCAAAGTCAATGACAGGCGGCTCTCCACACGCTGCTCCGGCAGAGGCTGTGCACACATCCTCGTTAGTAGCCACGCTCTGCTACTTGCCTTGTAGGCCGGCTTATCCCCACTACCACTTTCTTCAACATCCACACCCRGTGGGTGCTTGCCTGCTGCTACTGCACAAGTACTTTTTATTTGATAGCCACAGAACAGAATGCAGACAACAGCAGACAACAGCACATAGAAGAAGCTAATTATATCCAGATATGATCTATATCCCTACATCTGGGAATATCCCATAATAAAACAGAAGTGATATTTCCTTGCCCCAAGAAATTGTCTTTTTATATTATTGTCATATATTTTGGACTGAAGAAACGTACAACATCAAAAACATTTGCATTAAATATATTAATGAATTTCTCAAAAGGCACAAGGAAGATTTGACTTTTTCAACTTTGTACTACAATAATAAATTCCACACATGCAAACATGATTCTTACGTGTCTTTATACTTGTTTAAAGCAATATTAGTATTATTTTCTATCACATACCTGATTTAAATAACCATACACAGCTCTGCAACCCTTCAGATATTGTGTTTAAGTCAGGATTCTGCATTTTTGTCAGCATGTACTCAGAATAATAACAGGTAAAAAGGAATACAAACACATTTATATGTACTTATTTTTTGGGAGAGCATTTTGCCTTGGCATCAGTTTAAAAGTTCATTACCGACTACCATTAAGTTGATGTACAAGTGAAAGAAAGAACCTCACGAGAAAAAAAAAAGAGAGCAAATATTCTCAAACCCATTAACCTTAAGTATACATCTTTTTTATGAACTTCTGAAAGGAATTCTATTACAAGTGAYAGAGTTTGGCTTATTTTTTCACTATCCATTTTTCTTGAAGGCCTCTTGCCACATCAGTTCAGAGTATGGATTCCCATTTGGTAAATTACCTTTAGGTGTAGCACAGCACATCCACAGCAGAAACAATGTCATGCGGCTCAGCGGCATCATTTCCGAGCTTTAGAAATAAAACAGGTCCTCTACAACCGAATTTCTGGGCTTTGTACTCCAGATTGCACTTACTTGTATTCATGCCAAAAGCCCTTAAAATTGCCCTTCCAAAGGTTGTATACTCAGAGTTGAGCAATTTCTACCCCCATAGTTTCTTGCAACACAGTAGTGTCTGTGTAAGGATGAATTGCACAATTGTTATAAAAATGCTTCATTTTTTTTGTTCCCTTAACATTTCAAGTTCAGTTCAGCAGACTGAACTTGCTACAGGAGCATTAGTTTAGGGACTTCCCTAAATAAAAGCTCATGGTGCATTTGCAAACCACAGTGGGGTACATTTAGCTTTTTAAGTGCTACACTTAAAATCTTGTTATAGGCAAAATACYTCTGAAGCCCTATGAGTATGTGGAGCTGTATCACCTAGCCCCTTCTCCTGAGGTCACTTACCCTTTTCCGTGCTCCTCTGGCTGAAGCACCAGTGTCTCTCGAACAGGGCAGTGTCTTAAGGAGCGCTGGGGCACCAAGGCCTCCRTGAAGAGCGGCCCTGCCTCCTAACTACTCAGGTCTGCCAATCCACACTTTCCTGTGCTTTCTTAACAAAGTCTGTTTAATAGTTCTTTTCGCTAGGTCCCAGTTTTTCAGTTGCTCTGTTCTCTTTTTTTGTCTCTGAGATTAGTTAACTTGGAGAAGACAAATGGCACTCTTGCCATAGCCTTGGTGTTAACATTGTGATTCCCTTTTATCACCTGGAACCTGTGCTCTCTTCCTGAAGTCTGTCCTTTGCCACATTCTATTTTGGAGCCAGAGTGTTCAATAAATCCCTAGTACCAGTGTAAATTAAAGCTAAACTAAAACAATTTAGCCCTTAAAATATTGGCAGTATTTCTAACTCAGTCACTGAAAAACATCAACTTACCTTTTCTAAAATAACATTTGTTGATCAGGCAACTATTTTGAAGCAGTCAGCCCCAAAACACTTGTGTAACTTGTGTTACTCATTAAACTTAGATTTATTTATTTGTTTCTCTGTTTGCATAGAAAGAAGAAAAACAAAGCCTTCTTCCTCTTCAAGATCATGTTCCTTTGTCTCTCTCTGACAAAACAGAAGCTCTTTAAAAGTTCAACTTTCCACACAAAGGTAGAAAAGGGCTGCATGCAGTGTGTACACTCGCTTTGACTTTAACACAGAAGGCTGCTCAGCCAGGCCACCTTCTGTACCCATGGCACGGGCTGATGTGTCGCTGAAAGCCATGCTCTGGTAGAAGCGCTCAACGTCTTCTGCCCACTCTGACGAGATGAATCTGACACGAGCTGGGAAGCAAAAAAAAGTGACAGACAGACTTTGTTGCATAACTCCTCTCAGCATCATGGTTTGGTAGCACAGCTGGGGTGGGCAASCAGAGGTTGGTGGAGATCCTGGTGACAATCATTAACTGGCCTCTATGTGAAGTGAAATAAAGAGCAAGTTAGAGGGCCACTTACATCTACATGATTAATGAGGCCACTGGCTGTTGATACTGACAGTCTTACTCAGATTAAAAACAATAGCTTCTTTGGGCAGGGGAAGGAGAACACCATACATGAAATTTCAACACCGTACAAGTCTAAGCCCACTGTGTGCAGGGGCTAGGCCAGCAGCCAGCACCTCACACATCAGCAATGATGGCCTGTTCCCATGGGTCCATGGAGCTGGKTTAATGTGAAGCAGAGAAGAAGCCCTGACTTGCCCAAGTGTGTGTGCCCAGGCATTTGTTTATAGCCATAACAAATGGCATCCATTTCCCTCATGCATCCACAAGTGCCTAAATGGTTGAACTGGCACTGCAGTTATTGCAGTACTACAGATGTATCCATTTACTATTCTCTAGTAAAATTGAGTTTGACTTTTATTAGCATATTTTCACTCCATGGTTGAGCAGCTGCAGCAGACACTGAAAAATTACAGGGGAGTTTCTTAACTGCAAGAAGTAAAGAAGATTTGTGATCACAAGGTAGGCAAGAGAGGGTTGGATACCAGCAGAGAGAGACGTGTGAGGTTCATAAGGGACTGTACAGGATAGGTTTATTAAAGGATTTACACRTTAGTGTGCTTGAAGAGCCCCAGGAACTTTGAGAAGAGGTCATGGGCAGGAGGTGCTGAACACACAAGCTGGACGCAGGGGCAGGTCTCCACTCGTTGCTTGTGAGGGTCCCTAAGTACTACTGGAATTGCCTCTATCTCAGCTCCAGGAGGCTTGAGTAGCCCCTGCCTGGTGGACACRGTAGGGAGGCTGAACATGCACAGCTGGCGTCGCGGGGAGCTTGGTCCGCRTAGTTGCACATTCCCGGCCGGCCACCACGTGCGCTGCCAGTCATGGCTCCTTGCCAGCTCTTCCACAGAGGTCTTCACTACAAGACTAAATGGGGCTGTTCAAGCCCAGGGCATTTGCTGACTTGCACATTACCTACTTGGTATAGAGCGAGAGAGAATATTCAAGATGCCTGGCAAGCAGCAGAATCTCTCTCACCTACTGGAGTCTATTGAGGACATGCTGACAGTGACTCAATTAGCACCCTCTACATGTTCATGATGACTCATCACGTCTGAAGTGCTTTAAGTGGCTTCTGAACTCAAAAGAAAATTCTCTGCAGCTGCTCACCACCACTGCTGTGTGCAATCCAGTACACTGCCCTTTTACGTTACCTAGAGATCTATCCCAGCATCTAAACACTTTTCACATTCTAGAGAAAGAATTTTATCTTACCTCGTTCATAGACACAGGAATAATTAAGAAGTAAAAATTCAGATACTGAAACAAATTTCTATGTATTTTAGCTTCAGAAGAAAAAGTTTCTGGATATATAGCAATTTTAGATAGCAGCTATGAAGGTTACAATGCTCAATACAYCACACCACAATTTACTGGATGAAATTTTATCTCATATCATATTGTTTAACTAAATTCTTACATAATTAACGGAGGACAGCCACAAATTTAAATTCTAAAGATCATTCTTCTTACCATGACCTATAAATAAATTCCATGCTGAGCTCAGATCTACTTGTAAGAAATTCATTATACTAAATCGTTTTATCTCATTGCTCTGTCTTCGTTATTTTATATACCATCTTACAAAGCCATATCTTGATAATAGTTTACAAAAATATGTTGGAATACTACTTTAAATAACTTAAATAATTAACCAGGCTTTGATTAAAAAAGTAAGTACCTATTTCTTGAATGCTTTAATGTCTTAGCTCTTTCATTTATTCACACGGCATCTAAAAAGCAATGTAAAATCATCTAAGGGACATACATGCAAAAATATCAGAAAATGGAGTTTAGAGATACAAAGCAGAAGAGAGACTTTAGAGTGACTCTTTTCTTATTCACATTCAATAGATGGGAGGCAAATATTCTCCATGTTGCTGGGATTTTCTTCAGCTCGTCAGCCAAGCAATGTGTTCATTGGCAAAGTCCCAACAGTAGCTATATTTAAGGGTCACATAAAGTTATACAAAGCAGTTGGACTGAGCACTTTAATAAATGAAATGCACTCAATTAGCAAAACCAAGATTTTTGCTTATTTTTTGAAGAATAATAAACAATTTAATTATTGAGACTAATCTGAATACTTTTAGGTTTAAAATGTTTCAAGAGATGTATTAAACACAATCATAAATACTTCTTTTTTTTTTTTTTTTTTTTCTCTCCTGTCTTTTGAGCCATTTCCTTTGGAAACTTCTCACCTATGAAAGGAGACATGGCTGCTGTTAAGATGTGCAAAAGAAACTTGCCTCTCTCATTGTAAAAGTAGACTTTACGTTCCTTTTGATGGAACCAACTAACTTCTTTTAATTTAGCTATATTTAATTTAGCAAGAAAATTCATGCTGACACAGTTGCCAATGTAAATATATTCAACATCACAGAGGCTACATGCTCAGCATCATCTTGTCATTGTGCTCAAGTTATCCAGCCTGTAATATATCCTCACATTTAGCACTGTAAAACTTATAGAATTCCTTTGTCCTATTTTTTTTTCATGCACTGTATCCCAATCTTACACTGTGCTCCTGTGTTCCCAGCCAACATCCCACTTTCTCATAGCCCTCCACTTTCAACTTGGATCTAATAGTGCCACTGAACACTCATTTCTCAAAGCTGATTGTACTGATGGCAAYATACGATACCATCTTAATTCAGCTGTTTATCATAGAAAAAGAGCATGAACATACCTTCTCAATGGACTCATTTTCCTCTTTCAACACACCTTGGATAGATCAGCTGTCCTCTCTTACACTGCACTTGAAATAAAGTTGTACCAGATTCTGCTGCAGAATGGTTCTGTTTACAGTAAAATCCAACAAAATCCCCATGGTAAAAGTAAACTTGATTTGCATAAAAACTTTCCAGCATCACATTATTTTTCTCCATTTCATTTTTTGACAACATGCATGGTTCTATAGGAAATAGAAATATTTAACATTAATAAAGTCATTATTTTTGAAATTCTAGCACTTTGACTAGTCTATATACAATTTAGATTCTGGCCTCTCTTCTTAGTAAGTTATAAAGGAAATCACTCTGTTTTTGACTACTGCAGTTGTATGTGTGATATGTTTAGGAAGAAAAGCCAAACAAGCTCACACTTACTTCTATTAGAATTCTCATGTCTGAAAAAAAAATTGACAGGTAGCTGCCAGCACTCAAATTACAAATGCTATACATCTGAATTAGAGACAAAAATAAATCATACTTATTTATTATAAATAAATAAATTGCTCACCTTATCTTACCTACCTATACAAACTGGTGGYGAGGTCCACTGTCCCACAGAACAGTAGATCCTGTCAGATCCTTGCAAGGTATGATGCTCAGAGCAGTTATACTGAACTGAAGAACCACTATCATACTCAGSCAGGGCTGGCAGAGTAAGTGCTCCATTCTCAATAGAAGGTGGAGAGCCACATTTTTCCATAGGAGCTAGAATAATAATGTTGAAAATGATTGAGAAATATTCAGCATAAGAAAGGAGAGGGAAAAAAAAGGCAGTTTAAATTCCTCAATTGAGTTTAAAACACTCAATAATTGACCCAATATGGTATTTTTTTTAGTATTTCATTGTCTCAGATCAGAACGCTTAACTATAGTCTCCTAACTTAACTAAGCTAACCTAACCTAACTTAACTAACTCTCCTGCTTAACTATAAGAGATCCATTGCGTGCAGTTAAATCTTTAAAACTACGTTCTCACAAAGGCTTGAGCTTCCTGTGCTAGAAGGCCAGCTCCTCTCTCCCCTCCAGTGTTCCCCATTAAAGGAAGACAAATTGTTCTCTAAACTCAGATGTATTTGAAAATACTTTTGTATGCTGCAAGAGCCCATTGGATCCYGAACTTTCTAGTAACAGCCTCTACTGCTGAAGCAAACTTTCCTAAATAGGTCCAAGACCAATTAATTAAAAATTACAGCCAAAAAGTAGTTAGTGTTTTACCTTTTGCAATGCATTTTGGATATTTCACTCCTCCACGGTTGCACTGTGTCCTTCCAGGAGATGTTATGGTAGTTTGGGGAAAATTGTATCCTTGTTTACATTCAAACTCTACGAGGTCTCCGTGCAGGAAAATTAATCCTTCCTGTTTCCATTTTAGCTCTATGTTGTTACTATTCATTTTGGTTGCATTAAGAGTGCATGGTTCTAGGATATAAAAGTCTACTTCAATAAAAAAAATTACATGTGATTTAAGAAAGGAAAGAAAAATCTAAACAGTTCTAAAACCCTTTTTTTTTTGGCAGATATATTGTTAATATGTTGTAAACTGGGTTTACTGTTGAAGAAGAAACTACTATTTAATATAACTGGAAAAGTATTTTAATAGTATTAAGTAAAAGTATTTTAACAAAAAGAATCATCCATTAAAATTATTATTTTTTTTCTGATAGCATTTCTAGGTTTAAACCATTGTCATAGGTCTAAACTACTAAGCTAAGGAAGTGTTTTGGTAATTTGCTTTCTGTTTCTCAAGAAAATTTAATGTCACAATCACATCAAGTAACCTGTCTTTCCACTAGTTAGTTACCTCGTTATCTTTTGAAACACTAACTTCAATAGAGACTCACAGAAGAACAGMCATAAAAATAATTACATTTGTACAAGTTCCTTGAACTCGTACCCTCCTGATAGAGAGCCTTATTAATGTTCTGCTGAAAGAAAGGCAAGGAGAAATCAGCTGTTAGATATTCAGATGACATGCTGCTCTACTGGGCAGCAGATCAATATTGCTACAGTTTTAAACTAACTGCAGTATGTACTGCTTCTTGTCTGCTGAGGTGGGAGTTGAAAAGAAGCTAATGAAAACATGCAGAGGATGATGTGGTTATTCAGATGCTTAAGAGACAGAGGTTCATAGGAAAGAAGTTTTCACTAGTTCACAGAGTCCAGAATGAGATTATAGATAGAAGAACACAAAAGAAAAAGAGGTTATACACTGAAAGCCGAAGTGTCATTACAATCATGTCTAAAATAGCCACTATGACAATGGCTCTTCTCTGTATCAACGGAACGACAGGAAGAAATTCACTGAACTGATGACACAGAGAGTTAAGAAGCTATAATATATTTCTAGGTAATAGATACTGCTAATTTCCAGAATCTCTTGCTTGGAAAAATAGAGGAATCTATTTGACTAGAGGCTTCTAATAGCAGGTCAGAGGGACATCTAGCAGGAGTGACCTAGTTATATTTCTTTTGGCTTCCCTCTTGCATTTCTGGAATCTTTTTTAGTTCAGATGAAAGGGAAGACAGTCATGAAAGGAGTATCTTAACATCCTTTCCACAGTCTTACCCTTCTATATTATGCGTGACAAAACTTGTCTTTTTTCCTTGACAGACGTACCTAAGCAAGTTGGTTGTTGGGTCCAGTGTCCTTGTTCACAGTAAACAGTACTAGGTCCATCCAAAACATGGTAGCGYTGGCAACTGTATTCCACTGAGGAACCATTTTGGTAACTCCTCTGTAACRGGCCAAGGAGGATACCATTTCTGATCACAGGTGGAGAGGTACAGTTTTGCTGCATTTCTGAGATGGGATCTGGAGATGGGAAATTAGATCTTTAAAACAATGTTAATACAAGTGATAACATCAGAACAGCAAGATCTGAAGCAAAAGTGTACATACAAATAAAGTGCRTGTTAATGGACTTTTTTGTTCAAGTATCAAAACCAGAGACCTTACATGTGCCTTACTGAATAGCAGATAGACATTGTCCCCCTATACTCATTTGTCCACTCTTGTTTCTTGCTACTTTGCACTAAATACAGACTATGTATTTTTCTGTGAGGAGATTRTCTTCATTGGTTGCTTGAAGTGCTTAGCCCCTTGTGGGGTTCATGAAAAACAAAATAACCCATGATGGAACTACTGAACTCAACAAAATACTCCTGAATTTGCATGTTTAGGCAACACTAACAGAAGAGGTACCAAATGATAGAAAGCAAATGCTAATGGATGGAGTAATCAAAATTAYGAATACAGTACCAGCTCATAGATGAAACTTACAACCACTAGAAACAAGTGACCCCCAAGTTTTAATCTAGTCAATCTGACTGCTGTGTTAATATTGACGCATATGAAGATATTTTCAAGAGTAAGGAACTGAACTACTGCAAGAAGAGTAGTAAGGGTGGTCATAAAGCCTCAGTGGAGAGAACTGAATTTCTTGTTAAACAGAAAAGCAAAGTTGACTTACTTATATCTTCGTTATGATATGTTTTGTTTGTTCTTCTTGCTGYATCTGCCTCAAGTGATGGTGGTGGCTCAGATTCCCATTTATCCATAGCGCCTAAAATCACAGCGGAAGGTTGTTTCCAAATACCAAAACAGACAGAAGCTTTGCAGCTTTGTAAGATTTAATAAAATCAGTATTCCAGGGAAAAAAAMCCCACAAAACATAGCTTACGTATGACTTCATCTAGGTCATCCTATCTCTTAATCCATGAACAATGGGTTGTTTGCAAGTTATACATAAACTTTTCCCATTGCCATTTAATGGAGGAGGAGATAAACAGTTTTGTAGATATGGAAACTGAGGTTCTCAACATACATTATTTGGCCCCAGTCTTTACAAAACTACTAACCAATACAAATAGGGGGTGAGGTCCATCTTCCCTTTTCACACCGGATTTCCTCTGGGCCTCGCATTTCAAAGTTACTCTGACACCGTATTCGAACTTTGTCTCCATTATGGTATGTTCTTAAAGCCGTGACAACGTGGGCATGAGGAAGAAGAGGTGGAGGAGGGCATTTACTTTTTAGATCTGAAAATAAAAAAATGCATATTGTTTGTTCAAATACTAGAATTTTAGTCAAGCTATCAAAACAGTAGGTGGGTTTCACTAAGCAAAACTACATGCACAATTCATTTTACTTCATAGCATGCAAGCCTACCCTCCAGAGGACATTTTTGGCTGATCTGAAGTAACCATTTTCCTTCATTTTCTAATCAAAATGAAGACCCCAAACAAAAAATGATTTTATATTCAATAAACAGAAAAGAGAGGAAATACATTATTGTACTATTATAATTAAACTCATAATTTCTGTATAAAGACTTTCTAAGGGCTCCAGGAGATTTTTATGCTGAATATTTAGCTGTTCATTCCTAAAAAGTTGACATTTATTCATCACTTCCAATTCTTGTGAAGCAGTTGTAATCATAACCAATTTCCTGTCCCAGAATGAAATTTGTGATCATCTATTCCCAAAACTAGATTAAGGTCACATTCTCATTCTTAGCTAACCTAAATTTTCATTTTTTAGCCATTTCTGCCATGTACTGTAATTTGGAAGAGAATCTTCCAAGACTAGAGAACCTCCAATATCTAGAAACTCTTCCTTTGGAGGAGTGATAGGGCTTGCTAAATGCATGTTGCTGAGCTCATGAGGACCATTCTAGCTACTTTTGTGAAAAACACATACAAATGCGGTGAGCCTGTAAAACTCAAACTGTGTGTGTTCATAAAACATTTCATGAAAGGTGGTGCTGACCTTTCACTGTAATTTTTACATATTACAACAGTATTCATAAGGTACCTTCGCATATTGGTGGGTCTGGATACCATCCAAAATGGTAACACTGAATCAGGTCAGAGTCGCTGAAAGAGTAGTTTTTCTCACAGAAAAAGTGAACTACGTCTCCCTCGTCATAGATTTTCTTCACAGGATAGAAACCTCCATGTTCTATTGCACTCAAGGAGCAGTAAGTTGTTTCTAGGAAGACAAAACACAAGGAAAAAAACTATTTAAGGAGTTTTGTTTGTTTTGTTTTTCAGTTTGTAAAAACAAAACTACGTTTTTTTTTTCGGTTGAAGACTAAGCCAGGTTCACAGTTATTGTCAAGCCCATCACGTACTAGTGCAGTTTGGCGTGAGGGACCAGCCAAATGTTAGACATACTGCTGCTCCCGTTGCCTTTCCTCCGGCCGTACGATAGCCCTCGTCGCATCTGTAGCGCAGCGTYTCATTCACCTGCAGCACTCGCTGCGTCGTGAAGTAGGAGCCATGACGTAAAATAGGTACTTGACAGGACTCTTAAATAAATAAAACACAGGCTTAAAAGGTAGAGAAAATGAGATTTTCCTTAGATATGAAAAGGGCTAAGAATAATTAAACATACAGGAGCTTGCATTGGTTTCTGAGTTTCCATTCARTAACAAAATGTGGGTGAAGAGGGGTTTATCTGAAACAATGCAGTTTTATTTATACTGGTTCTTTCTACCTATAGTTTTTATCTTTACCAGTTCAAAAGACAAGCAGCATGTGAAATCTGCTTCTGATGAAGGTGAAACTTCATATTACAAGGAGCCCTTGAGAACCTACTTCAGGCTATTCCAATGGTAACGTTCCACAAGCAGTTTGCCACTACAGGAACAGCAAGGACAGCAGATTTGGAAAGGAATATCATAAAGAGAGGAATGCTGAATTATACCACTTCTTTTAGTGCAGCTTGGCTGGGAAGACCATCCTCCAGGATGGCACTGCACCATTCCTTCGGTTCCACCGCTTGGAGAGTAGTAGCCTGAATTACATTTGTATTTTAGTTTCTCCTGTAGTTTGAAGTATACTTCTGTACCGTAAAAAATGCCGTTTTCCAAAAGAGGCTTGGTACATTTTTCTAAAAGGAGGGAGAAAACGTGGTTAGGATGAAATCATTAGCAGAATATTTACACATAAAATGTGTATGTTGCACATTTTAGAGAAGCAGGGGAAGGAAACTTTTAACTAACTCCCTGATCCTATCTTATTTTCTTGACCTGTTGAAGAATTTCCAATACAGTCACCTAACAGATACATTAAGTGCTAATAATGTGGAACAAACAACCAAGGAAGCAGAAGCTGGGGAGACTCAAATTCACAACTGGGAAGGAACAGGCAAGTTTTATTTTCCCTGGCTGGAGTCCCTATATACAAAGCTATGTGGTAGAAGTCCTTAAAATGCAAAAATTGTAAAAATGTTTCAGATATAAACACACATGGTTCATAAAGGGTTGATTTCTCCCTGTTGTCTTAACTTATACATTTTATCCCTCTGTTCTACAGCTCCTGTTCTRTATGTTTAATGAAATTCAGACTAAAACAAACTTTCCAGCTAGATGCAATAACGAAATTAATAAAATCTACTCACTGTAGCACTGTGGCTCTGGAGACCATCCTTTTCCTGTACAAGTTATTCTTCCATCTTGCCTCCCCATTTCAGTTGTATAACCAGCCACACAAGAATAGGAAAGCTTTCTTTCCTTGCGCATAGGGAAATAGTAACTCTTGAAATTATAATAGTACTGGGCAATCTTTCCATTTTCTATATGTGGCAAATTGCAAGGTTCATCTACAAAAAAGATAATGTACTTTTCACTATAAATATCACCAGTGCATTAATTTCCTTGTAGTTGTTTTCATTMAGGCCTTCAAACAAGGTAAAATTCTGTGAACGCTTAGAAAGTCAAGGCAATTTCTAATACAAGTCTCCTTGTATTAGAAATTATTGATCTAAGTCTCTATGCTTATTCTAATGATTTTTTTTTTTTTAATTCATCCTCAAGAAGTTTGAAGACTCATTCAAACTAAGAGATACCAAACTTACAATATAAGTCCAGGTCCATGGCACATGATGAAAATTTGCATCACAGGCATAGAAGAGGATAATAGAAGATTTTAAAAGGATTTGTGCTAAATGATACTAAGGTGTTAAAAATAAAAGCAAACCAACCCCATAGGGCCTCTGTGAGTATTCTGTATGTGCATTTTTTTCTGAAAACAGAGCAAATACAACCCCTCCCCACCCCAAAAACTCCGCAAGGATATCTGACTTGAAAGATCAAAATTTAAAATTGCACATCTTCCCTCAGGTACTGCTACATCTACCCTAGAGAAAGCATCAAAGTAATRTTTTGGTTGTTATTGTTAGAACTCCTCTCCTCACATGGCCATTCTATCATATTGGAATAAGAAATTCGGAAGTCCATTAAGATTTTGGTGTAATTAGAAGTCATAAGTGGCTGGTATCTAAATACTTTTACTGCTTGACCTGTCACTTTATGTAAAAGTGTTTTTTTCAGAGGGCCARAAGTCTTATGAAGACAGCAACAGTTGTGACAAGTGTCCCAGCTGTCCAAGCTACAGCAGCAAATACAAATGAAATGCTTCAAAGTGACACTTTTTCCACTAATGACATTGCTTGCACTGGAAACAATATGCAAACTACACAAACCCAGGAATATAAAATAGTACTAGAAGGGATAGAGAACAGCATCAGATGTGAAACATCACCCCAGGCTAGCTGCTACATTCCCACACAATCACGTTTTAAAACTCGGCAAAAGAAAGTGTTTCTTTAAAAAGCTGTTTATTTAAACACTTAAAAAACTTTTTGCTTTTGGTGAAGATATGAAAGTCATCGCACTTATCTAAATGAAAAATTGAGTCTAGGACATGCAGTTTAACAACAGAACGCAGTGGCTTTACCTTCTGCAAAGACTTTGCCTGAACTCATCGTAACTATGAAGAAAATCCAGCTTTTAAGTCTCATCTTCAGCACTGCCTCCATCAAAGCTTTCCACTACTCTGTGAAAACTCACTGAGTATTACTTTAGTAAATAATTAACTGAATTTTCAACGGTATTCAAAAAAAAAACCTGTTATGTTTGTGATATTTCAGAATATGCAAGTTATTTCAATGAAAACATTTTAATTCTCCAGACACACTAACCAGACTTGCAGAGCTCTGCTTTTGTTTGGCATAGGCAACAAATTTATGGAACAATTTACTGCAATTAAACACCATCCCCCCCCCGAACCTCCTAGAGTTCCAAGTTGAAAGGGCATTATGTTACCAGATTATTTACCTTGGCTAAAATAAGAGGAAATAGAAAACCCCCTCTTACCGTCATCACCTAACAAAACAGCTTCATTATCTATTTTTATTTATTCTGAAAGCTCTGAATGAAGAACATAGTGCTGTTGTTGGTCCATTGCTTTTGCAGCATAAAACTAGTTCCCTTTTTTAAGCAAGGAAAAGAAAAATAAAACTCATTTACTATACGTCCTCACTTTAAAAATAATTCAGGTAATTCTTTAACTATCTGCATGATGACTGACGTTGATTTAAAAACATGCTCTGCCCTTTGGAAGAATAATCTACATTTTTTGGGGTGGGGGGTTGGCAAGAAGGGAGAGTAGCAGGAGAGAGGAGTTGGAAAACACCGCTATTGCTTTACAGCTTTCTTAGACTTGCTCTGGGAAAATTCAGGCCCAAGGCACGAGAACTGTAGGCCAACGCTGTGATGAACAAAATGCTTTTTATCTTGCTGGTTGCATCGGAAGAAAGTCCTCTTCAGTTGTCACTTGTAAAATATACAGGTCAGAATTTCACCTTTCTAAATTCTTTTATGTAACATCCCCTTGTTCCTTCTTATAATCTTTTTCCCTAATGGCACATAGGATCCTCTCTAGCTCACCAGGAAGTAAACTCAAATCCTCCAAAGCAGKAGCCACTTTTGAAATGACTGTCCTTCCCATCTATGCCTCTCCACCTTGGGCAAGTCCACACTGGGATTACATCGTATTTAACGGAACTCAGCAGGCAATATCTGGGAATCTCATACTATCTGTAAGATTGTGTAATAACAGTATTAATGCAGTAATGAGATATCCAAGACTTATGCTTTTATTGTACAATTGATTTTAGCAGTAATACAAAGCAGGATTTCAAAACCTTTATACGATATTAAAAAGTTAAAAAAAACATTAATTGCGACTCAGGAAAAAAAAATCCAGAATAGTTTTTTACATTTATAACCAAATCTGTTGGTCCAACTGCCTGCTACGTACAGACAGTTGCATACTATACAAATGCATTTTCATATACATAATTTACATTTCAGCAGCACGCAATACCAAGCGTATCCATCACCATCAGAATTGCTTGCAGAGGATCCACAATTTCCTGCATGTTATCCTTCCTCAAAACCCAATCTGGTTTGATTCTGTGAAAATATTAATGGATTGTCACTACAACAGTACATTTCCATAGCAAATACAGCAGATTGATTTTCAAGCTCTCACCTTGAAACTGTTTTCGTTCTTACGGGAGTTACTGGAACAAAGGGAGTTCCACTGGTGCAAGTGCTTGTTTTCTGCTTCACAAGTGTTCTCTCAGCATCCATTCGGTGCTTCCGAGCAGTAAGTTTATAGAGGCTTTGAATGCAAGTGACTGCCCTTGGCATGCTTCGAATTTCCTGAGAGAAGGTGAAAAGAATACACTGTCAATACTGCTAATTTAAAAGAAACTTAACTAATCAAGGAATGAAACTTAGTCAATGAAAACTGAATGTTCCTAATTCAAGCTGAGCTTATACCCAACAAATACAGGGAAATCATTCTAAGGCTGACACACCTCCTGTCAAATCAGCAGCCTAATGCTTATCAAAATGCTTAGCAATTACTACACTATTTGGGATGTCAGAAAACTCAAGAAGCTCTGGAAGGTCAGATTTTAACATTCTCAAGTTAAAATTTCTCAAATTTCTTAATGAGAAATTTGTATGTCAACATATGTCTCCAATGAACAGGCACAAATTAGCAGTTGTAACAAAAGATTATGACACTAGATAGAGGTGAGGGAATAATTGTACTGCTCAGCAGTAAAAGACTTAGCACAGAAAGGAAATTTCCTTCCAAAGCAGACTGTGTCTACATTACAACAGGGTATGTCAGCACAATGTCAGAAAAATTTCCTGACGTTTTTTAATTAAAAAAAATAAAATCTTTACTTTTGCTTGAGCAGTAAAAGTTATTTTTTAAAGGTTGAACAAGATTTAATCAATCAGCAACAAAAAAGAATGTATCTAAAGTAGATAAGTGCTAAAAAGCCATCTCCAAAAATCTGTGACAGGAAGGATTGCAAGATTAGTCATGCAAGAAGTGCAGGTTCAGAACCCAATGCCATCAAGGACTCTGGGAGACCAACGCATACAAATGTAGCCCCACCTTGGAAATGCATTTTTACATCAACAGAATTTAGCAGCAGTCAAGTTTGCRGCTGTAATGGGTAGTAGAAGAAGAGAAGAAAAAAACAAAGACAAAACCCAAATATGGTTAAAACAAACTACAAAAAACATTTCAATCTCACCAAAGCTCTCTTTGAATCCTTTGAAATAATGGCCAACAAACAACAGGTCTTTGTGAAAATACTTCCGCCTTTCTCTGAAATTTTGTCCCCAGCTTTCCCTCTGTACATTTGTAGTAGGTCCAGTAACGTATCTATAGAATTTTCAACTTCATAAACTGCTTGAGTTGTTTTTTCATACTGTCATATGAGAGACAAAAAAGGTTATGTCAACAGACCTTAAAGTTATATTTCAAATCAAAAGAAAAAAAAATCATCCTTTAGGTATGTTTATATTTTAATATCTAAAGTGACGAAAAATCACTTTGTAAATATTACACTGTCACAGTCACAAGTTACTCAACAGTAAATTTAAGAGGAATACCGTGAAACTCTAAGTAGAAGAACATGTCAGATTATGTTACCACTTTATTCATGAAGGCCTTCAGAAACAAAACACTACCCTTTATTCTTTTCTTTTGTTTAAAACTCCACAGAATCTGATTTTACGCTTAAAACATAGTCATTCTTCAGCACAGTGAGAACATTCCTCCTTTTCGCCATAAAATAAGATTAAAAGGCATCGAGTATAAACATCAACAGGATGGATGTAGAATAAAACACTAGATTTAATGCTCAAAATCATTCAGATATTCTATAAATAAGAACTTCAAAAAAATCTCTCTGAAATAGAAGAAGTACTCTACAACTTAGAAAACTGCAGAAGCAGAATATCGAAATTACCTTTGAAACATTAAGTAGAACTTGAATTGAATATCTGATCACATCCATACATGGGACACTCCGGTTGCAATTTCGTATCAGAGCAAAAATAATRAAGATGGCTCTGCTCTGGGCCATATTTTCACAGCAGACTGGGGACAGCCTGGTAACCACCTCTATAATAATAAATATAAAGAAAATTGTGAAGCCTAATCATTTTATTTTCCAAATAATAGGGCTTTCTCTTATTTTTTAAATAGGTCTGGTAAAGTAAATATCAGTAATTACTGATTCATATTTTTCAAGTATTTCTAAACTGATCACTTTAATATTCAGATCAAAATTAAGCCAGACAAAAAAATCCACAGGCCACTTATACTGAGAGTTAAGAAATTCTTGATATGCTCATAGCTGTCTTTTATGTAAAAATCATCTAGAATTAGGTAGACCAGAGATGCATACAAGACTATCTTGCTCTGCCAGACTCTTTAAATTTATTTWWAAAAWAATAATAATAATTAAAAAAAATCAATAATGGTTTTAATCAATAAACTGTTATTAGTCTGGAAAAAAATCATCCCTATTTTATCCTCTCCAGCCCATTCAGATTTCACAATGCAAGAGAAAGGTATTATCAACCCTTTGCAGCTGAGAAATCCCAACTTCTGCCATCCTCTCCATGTACTAGTTACGGTAAAAGGAAATACTGACCTAGATGCTTTAATGCTGCAAGAATATAAGAAATATGTTTGTAATTTAGAAGGCATTTAATGGCAATTGCAGTTCTGTTACATAATTTGTTTTCTTCTCTGCTCTTTTCATTAGCCTTTATTAAACTTAGTCTTAAGGCTTTAGTTTTTGCTGTGTCATTGCTCTTTCTCCAAGAATATCCTCTCCACAATGCCTAGAGAAAAGGAATTTCAAAGGAAAAAGAAGCGAACATAAGTGACAATATAGAATTTCCATTAAGAGTTAAGCATTGTTTATATGTAATTCCAATTAATTTTTAACTAGTCAATAATCAAATTTAGTACCTTACCTTCCAAATATTGGATTTTTACGGAAAAAAAAAGCACACCAGTGTGTGTGGTGTGTGTGTATACACGTAACATCTATACACATATATATATATATGCGCAGCCCCACGTACCCCCATAAGCTATCTCAAACAGCATCTGCTTACTATTATTTCATAGTCTGCTGGCACTTAGTTTTGAAGTCTAAAATAAGGTCAACAGTTTGCAACACAACTGACACATTCACAAACCAAAATAAACATTTTTCCTCTTCCCCTAAACCCATAAGGAAGCGAGGAAAAGCGCATCCATTTCCTTACAAGAGTATTTACCTGCACCTTGGTTATTCCAACCGCCAGTTTTCTGCTGCGCCTGCGGGCGAGGAACCTGCGCACGTTTCGCTGGATTACGGTCGCTGCGTCGCTCCTGCGCCTCAGCCAGACTCGAACCATGCGTTGTAACCGAATGATTCTTTGATAGTCTCTCTGAAACCTTTTCTGTTGTACTTTTGCTCGGAACCATCTCTGTTTAAAGTTAATGGAGTAAAATAATTACTTAAGGCTTTTCATTCATTCCCATTCCCCATCCTAAACAAGTAATGATAAAAGCTGAAAAAAATTTTAACATGAATTTTGACAGATAAGGTGATCGACAGCACCACCATGATACAGCTCTGACCCAGAATAGCTAAAGGGCAAGACTGTGATATGGGTTGAGGAAATATTTGGGCCACTGCCCCACTTCTTTCATTTCCTGCTCCCTCTCTTCCCCCTCTATACAGAAAGCAGAAAAACAGAGGACAGTGCGACAAATCTAGGCAAACACCTCTTCCATCCCATACACTGCTGCTTTAAGACAAAGATACAATTAACAGGGAGAGATTACTGATATGTATTTAGGAGGAGGAGGGCAAAGTTTGACATGTAGTAGTTTGACATCTACTTCCTAGATTAAATATAATATGTTTACATTAAACATGACAACTCAAGCAGATTCCAGTATCACTGACAGTTTAAAAAACATCCACATACATCCCTGCATCCCAGGAGCTGCCTTAGGTAGGCAGATGCTCTGCAGTGCATGTCTTTGACATCTTCAAAAATGTCATGTCAAATCTTTGCTCCCTCTGGTAGGATGTACAGAGGTTGTCTGAGACAACACTTGGACTCCTTAAGCAACCCTGAGGGTCTAAAGGGAGCACGAACYTTCACGCTCGGCCTCAGCTCGGAAATGCTTAAGCTTCCTGTACAATCCCGTCTAGATCTACTGGGCCTAGTTGGGAATAAGCAGCCTTAATGGTCTCTATTGCACATTTTCACATGTGATCAGTGTGAAATTACAGCTTAGCAAACAGAAAATAAACTATTGTGCACAACCAGCCATCCTTAGTTACACTAACCTGTATTACTAGAACAGCAGAGATCTTGTTCTGTGCATGTTTTAAGACAAGGTGAATTCTATACGCCCTTTGAATTTTAATTGCAGAGATGTGATGATATGCAGCTGCTGTAAAATACAGTAGCCTCTGTTTTTGTTTCTGTTCCAAAATCTGTAGAAGGAARAGAGACCAAAGAACATCATTACCTTTCATACGTAGAGGGTAGTTATCTTCCATGCCAAAAAAGCCCACACTGCTAAACTAACTAAAGGCTAAGCAATCTTTTCTGAAATTGTTAGCACAGAACTAGGTAAGTCTCAAACCTTGGCCTAAAGCGTAAAGTGTAATATAGAGAAATGACTGTAAGCAACAACATTAACAGAAAGCACAGAACAGTAAGAGCTGGAGGTATAAAAGTATCAGCTGAGAGAAAAATCACACACACACACAAAGATATCAAAAGTTTAAAGAACAAGAAGGATTTTATTACTAAAGCGTATTTTGTATCCTGATCTATACTGACCCACCCAATTCTCAAAACAGTCACCAGAAAATAGAGTCCCACAACTAATCAGGTGCTTATTTTCTTGACAGCCACAATACTAATGCTAACACTGCTCTGAAAATATTTTATATAAAGAGTAAATTTTAATTTGAATTATACCAACCTTTTTTCTGACTAAATAGCCTCGGATAAATGCTTGTAATCTAATGACAGCTCTTCTAGTTTTGTTGTATTTTATGAACTGAAGCTTGCCTTCCTGCCAAGCTCTCAGATGCTTCTGGATGAYCAAAGCAGCAGCTTTTTGTTGAATAAACTTCCTTCTCTCCTTAAAGCCCCTGTATGTTGCTTGGATCAAACATGCAGCGTGAAACTTCTAAAAAGGATTTTAAAGGGTACATTGATTACTGAAAGTTAAGAGTAATTCTGTCATGAGCAAAAACAAAACAGGAAATATAAGTAAATTCCTTCACCACTTGTTTACATAACTATTCACTTTTACACTTTCAAAGGTCTTTTTCTTTTCCCAGAGAATGCAAAAAATAATGGCAATATAACTTAATCTTTTGTAAGTCATTAAGCTAACAGGCCAGTTTTACATTTCATCTTGTTACCAGTATAGAGAAGGACAATCCAAGGATTGGAACCGTTTGAGAACAAGAATCAACTTAGTTGCTCAAAGCAAACAAACTGAATGGTTTGAAATAGAACAGTTTTGATTTGAATAATTTTTGTTCTGGCCCGGCCTTCTTTTCTAGATATTAGCACATTGATTAGGAAAAAAAAAAAGTTAGCTCAAATGCATTGAAAGTCTTTAATAATAAACAACAACCCAAGCAAGGTTTAGAGTGAAGACATACCTTTCTTACTAGTCTTCTAGCCCTATATTGCCTGTATGCCAACTGGATCGTAACCGCAGCCTTTTTAGCTGCCAGAAACTGCCGGTGAACTTTTCTTGCAGTAAGGGTTGCTCTCCATCTTCTCTGAATCACAATTGTACACACCTTCATTCTCAGAAACCTAACATGAAAATGCTTTTTAGTTTTAAAATAAGAAATTTTAATTGAAATATTAAACTTCCAGAAGCTRGAACAGAGGCAAGATATATTATTAGATCCACAGAATTTATACATAATTTCAATTAAATAAAAAAGAAAAAATCCACTAGTTCAACCTCTGTAACTCGGACACAAAAATAAATTACAGCAGCCAACCAAAGAAACAAACAAAAATCATAAAAGCAACTAGAAAACATTCTTTTTTATCTGTTCAATGCAATAGTAGCAGTCAAAATACTCTCAGGACACCATCACAGAAGGATCCCAAAAATAGGAGAGRGGGCATACATAAAAACTGCTATATAAAAGTCAGGTGCAGCTACACCTTCTGGACTGCATGCAGTTCAGGTCTTAATTTCAAAGAGGATGTTGTAAAGTCAAAGAATTACTAAAATGACAGAAGATGGAACTTCTGACTTAGGTAGAAAGTCTAAATAGCCTGGATTCTTCAGACTGGAAAAGAAGAGGTAGAGAGGGAGAAAAGAACAATACACATTTACAAAAATCAGGAAGATATGCTGAAAGTGGAACCATTACTAACCAACTCTTGATAGATCGAACAAGGATATCTAGGCTTGCTAGCAGATGATTTTAAAATAGAAAAAAACTATTATCCCTCCCACCGTGGGTAGCTCACATCTACCACAGGAGGTTTTTGGAGGTAAGTGATATAGAAAGGTGATTTAAAAACATATAAAAACCTGACAGATATCAGGTCCATAAAAGGCACAAGCCAGGGAGCGATCTCTAACATTCTTAATTCAAAACCACACTGAGGGTGCTAAAGGAACATAAGGAAAGCTAAAGCTACCTTGAAGTAGCAGTTACAGTCATATCCTCTCCTAAAAGAGCATCTAGCAGAGCATCCACTATRTAACTGTTTAAACAAATAAGTACAAAGCAATTTATTATTGCACTATGCTTTATAAGGGAATAGCTTTTCAGCCCATTAGTTTCAGCTGGAATCTTAACAGTATCAAGAACATCCTTCTTGAAAACAGAAGGAAAATTGTTCATGGCCTTCTCTTCCTAGATGCCTAATAAGCAAAATTTTAAAGATTCTGAGGTATATTCCAGAAAATATTTAAGCAGAAGAATAGTTTTGCATAAAACAATCTCAGCCACATCAGCATGATTATATTCATGCATAGTTACGCATGCTTGAGGGTCAGAACTTCAGAATCTATAGGTATTTAGCAGAGTGCAATGCAATAAGCTATACAATAACTGCTCTTAAAAGTAGAGAAGATTATGTAAGTTGCAGTTCAGTGTTACCAGATCCTCTGCTGCACGACGCTGCTGAAGTGACTCTGAATAACGCAAGGAGCTTTTACCACAGATGCATGTTCCTTTTGTGCTTTGCAGTCTAGAAACCCAGCTTGAATTACTGGTGCTGCTCTCATTTTGTCAGTGAACTGCTTGGCTGCAGAACTTCTATATAATGCCTATTGAATATTCAGAAAGAAAAAGGGGGAAAACATATCAAGGCTCCTATTTTTTCACTTAAAACAAAAACTTACAAAGCAAAATGTTATTTTAGATGAAAGGTTTTTAGGTTTAATACTACAGATATGGGGAGCCTATCCAATTTATCATGTCTAGAAGGTATTTTATAAAGCAAGTTAAGTGCAGAGAAATGCCACACTAACACTAGTTAAATAATTACATCATGAAGAAATAAATACAAGAAATAATAATAATTAAAAAAAAAATCAGAATTACCTGATTCCCAGTGGCAGCCATTGCTACTTGAAGGTATCTTTGCTGTTCAACCTTTTGCATCCAATAGGCTCTGAAGTGCTGCTGAATCAGGATGACAGAAGACTTGTACTGAAGGTATCGCCGCCTCTGAACAGACCCACGGAAAAATGCCTTGGAAGACAAAGGTACAACAACCTTGGAACATTTCACCACTTGCATGCTACGTGGAAGAGGCTTGCATAACTTTAAGTCAACTTAGTAAGTTAAATTGCTATAGAATCAAGAATATAAGTAGTTTTTAAAAAGCCTCTGATTATTTTTTCTTCCTTTTAACCAAAACTATCCTACTCTACTTAAATGGTTCAGGTCTATATAGCTATACATTCAGAAAACGACCAACAAGTTGCCACTTCCTAGAAAGAAAAAGAAGGAATACACATCCCTCTAGTCTACCATAGAGAACATATAAACAATAGGATAGCAAGTGTAACCCAGAGGATTATTATATGGTATTATTTATTTCCCTTTCCTTGATGATCTAGAGGGAAAAAAAGCCCCTCCTCTTCTAAAAATATCCTGAGGAGAAATCCCTTCACTTTTCCTTGGGATAAAATAACTAAAGAGATCTCAGGAAGTCAATTAGAACTTCTCCCAGAGGCAGAATTAAAAGCATAGACTCCCACAATTTACAATATAAACAGTAAAAATGCCTCCCTTCATCCTCAAAGTTACATATGTGTACATAGTTATACATACACATATATACATGTATATACATACACACACAGAGCACTTCTTTGTAAGCAGTCTAAGCTCCTTAGAACTTGCCCTAGACAGGCACTTAGGTTGCTATATAGCAAGAGGCATGTTCTCCTTAAGACAAACRTATTCTCTCTTTTCCTTAAGACAAGATATTCTCCTTATTAGTGGTCTATTGTACTAGTATTTTATTCCATCAATGRGGGGGGGATAAAATAATTAAATAAATTGAATGTAAGTATTTTCTTTTCCTCAGAGGACATCAACTCATATCCAAGAAATCAGAAGACTACATTTTCACACTTGTCCTTTCAAAGGACAAATTATGCTGTACAGAAAGAAGAAAAATCCTCTGCCTACATTGCTAGAGACTAAAATTGGGTCTTTTATTAAATCCAATGTGACTGACACAACCCTAATGTATCGCCTGAGTCTTAAAAGGCAAGCAGACATCACCACTTTTTACCATTTACTTCACGCTATAGCCCTTAGTGGGTTGCACTCCTTGCAACACAACAGTTTTCATTCTCATTCAAATCAAAGCAAATGTTCCTTAAACCACTATTAATTATAAAGGAGAAAGACAAAGATATTAAAAGGACATTAACACCCCCCCCMCACCCCAGTATCAAGATTCAAGTTTGAAGAAACATCTTAGCTAGAAAAAGTAGCAGTAATAACTGAATAAGACAGATTTGTATATGCTCCTGCCATCGACCAGACTTCAGGACCCAACTCTAGCATTCGGCTTTAAAGTGCTGTTTGTAAGAAGTGAGGAATAATCTACTAAACAAATACGAATATACATTCACAAGTACCTGAATTTTTATTGCACTTTCTTTAGTTCTTTGAAATCTCTTCTTTTCAATGAATCCTCTAACTCTAGCCTGCACCATGATAATATTCTTCCGGATTTGCAAATAAGTTTTCCTTTGCTGTTTTGCAGTCAAATGAGATCGGTAGCATTGCTGTAAAACAACTGCTGCTTTTTTATATCTTACATACTCTGATTTAGTTTTATGCATCAAGTAATAGGCTTGTAATGTAATAGCTGCTCTTTTAAGTTGAATAAATCTTCTACGATGCACAACCATTTTAAGAAAAGCCTGAATCTTCCTTGCAGCTCGTATTTCTCTTGCCATTTTTCTCRCTTTCCTTCCACGATAGGCAGACTGAATAACTAATACTGCTCGCCTTTGAACAGAGTATTCTGCTTGCTGTAAACGAGCCGCGCGACACGCTCGGTACCACCTCTGAATAGCAACCGCTGAGCTCCGCATCAGCTGGTACCGAGTCCGTGCCCTTCGGCACCGGAACAGCGACTGGGTGATTAGGGCTGCCGCTTTCATTGCGAGGAAATTCTTCCTTTGCACACTCATCTGTGAAAATGCTCGAGCACACTGCATGGTCACCATGTYTTTAGGCCACTGCCCAGCATTTTTAGCACAAGAAGCCAACTGAATGTAAAAGATAGCGTTTGGTTTTAGTGCACATTTTTCTGCCTCAGCTTCTTTGGCCATTTTGGCTCTGAACCTTTGCTGTGTAACTCTGACAGCCCACTGCAGTCGTTTGTAGTATCGATATTGCACGCACATGCGAAAACTGGCCTGGATTACAGTTGCAGAGACATGCATTATCTTTAGTTTCTGCCGTTCCTTCATGCCTCTGTATGACGCCTGAATAACAAGAGCGGACCTCTTAATTGCCAGATATTTCTCTCGTTCATTCTTTCCTTTAACATAGGATCGATAATAATTCTGTATAACAATAGCAGCAATTCTCATATTTTGATAGGACCTCCTGTGCCGGTGCATTCTGTAGGTTGCCTGGATTTTCCTGGCAGCCAAAYGCATACGTTTAATACCCTCCCGGGCTCTGATACCTCTGTACGCTGCCTGTATGCGAAGAGCTGCTCGGCAAAGAGAAAGATACTCCCGAGCATGATGTCTTGCCAAAATCAAAGCTCTGTATCTTCTCTGAAGGACAATAGTTGCTGCTTTAAGAGAAAGGTATCTCTGACGTTCTCTAAAGGCTTTAAAATTTTTCTGAAGAATGAGAGCAGCACAATGCATTTCTTGCTGTTTTTTTGCCCTCCTCGCTCGAAATGCCTTCTGAATACAAATTGCTGCTTTCTTCAATGCAGTGAATTGCTGCACTGCAATATTCTTCAGCTTATTGGCCCTGTACCTCTTCTGTATTAGCTGGGTTGCCCACTGCACCCTTCTATAATGATGGTGTTGCTTGTACATTCGATAGTTCTTCTGTATTGTAAGTGCTGCTTTGTGTCTTTTCTTCATCAAGGATCTTGTTTTCATTCCTCTAAAGGCAGCCTGAATAACTAAAACAGAATTGTACAATTTTAAGTACGTTTCTCTCRCGTGCGTCCCTGCCCTGTAAGCACGATAATGCTGCTGTATGATTACTGAAGCAAGCCTGAGAGCTTGATAGGAAATGTAAGTTTTACGCATCCTTAAAGTTGCTTGGATAACTGTAGCAGCTCGATGCATCTGCTTTATTTTTTTCCTTACCACAAAACCTCTATAGGCAGACTGTATGGTAACAGTAGCATTAAGGAGAGAGAGGTATTTCTGACGTTGGCTTTTTGCTAGTTTTGTTGCTCGGTATTTTCTCTGAATTGCAATAGCAGCTGTCCTTAGAGAAATAAAATGTTTTCTTCTCATAAAAGTTYTAAATCTTCTTTGAATAAGCTCAGCAGAGGCATTCATAGTTCTTATAAGTCTTCTTGTTCTCATACCACGGAAAGCAGCCTGGATACGAAGTGCAGCCTTTTTCATAGTCATGTAGTTGTGAACTTGTGCATTTCGCTCCCTGCAGGCACGGAACCACTGCTGAATCCGTCTGGCTGCCAGTAACAATTTTCTAAAATCTCTTCGTTGCCTGTGCATTCGATAATAAGACTGTATTGTCGCTGCTGAACGATGCATAACTTTCAAGTCTTGGCGAACCCTCAGGCCTCTGCAGGCAGCCTGAAGGATAATAGTAGAATTCTTCAGCTCCAAGTACTTTTTACGTTGCTCTCTGCCTAAACAAAATGCTCTATATTGTCTTTGAATTACAATTGCTGCCATTCTCATTGCCCGGTATCTGATGTTTAAGCGATGCATCTTAAACATGGCCTGAATAGAAACAGCTGCTTGATGCATCCGATGAATTTGTTGTCTAGCTCTTACACCTCTATAAATAGCTTGTATCTTGACTGTGGCTTTTCTTAAAGACAAGTATTTTTGCTTTAGACGTTTAGCATGCACAACTGCACGATAGTGCCTTTGAATCACAAGAGCTGCAAATCTAAGTGCTACATACTCCTTTTTCACCAGGTAAGATCTGAAAGCTGCTTGTATAACTGTAGCAGCTTTGCTCAGTTTGCTTAACTGCTTCCTCACAGTCATCCCACGGTAAGCAGACTGCAAAACCAGCACAGCAGCTTTTGTTTTTAGATAAAGTGCACGCTGTGTTTTTTTCATGCAATAAGATCTGAAGTRCCTCTGAATCACTAAAGTTGCTTGCCTTAGATTTTGGTATTTTTGTCGATTTCTATGCATTCTGTAGTAAGACTGAATAACTGTTGCAGAATTATGCTTCTTTTGGATTTGCCTTCTCTCAGTTTTCCCTCTCCATATTGCCTGGGTGCGTATTACACAGTTACGCAGCTCAAGGTATTCCTGACGCTGTTTCTGTCCGGCAACTCTGGCTCTGTAACGCTGCTGGAGAGTGAGCACAGCGCAGCAGAGGAGCTGGAACCTTTTCCGGGCCAGAAATTTTCTGAAGGCAGCCTGTAACATCGTTGCAGCAACATGTTGCCTGTGAATCTCTTTTCGTACTTTCCAACCGCGAAAAGCTGCCTGTAAGGACAGCACAGCTGCCCTAGTGGCCAAGAAGCTCAATCGTTGCCTGTTACCAGCCTTACAGTTTCTGTACCATCTCTGAATCACAACGCAGGCTCGAATCATTGCCCGAAATTTTGTTCTCGCAGCGTGAGTCCTAAAAGCAGACTGAATTTTAATAGCAGCTGTGTATTGAAGCTGGCAAGTTTTGCGCACTTTATAGCCCCTGTAGGCTGCTTGCAAGCACACAGCTGCTCTTTTAATTCTCAGGAASTCCTGCCTCTGATGGAGCTGCCTTCGGCACGCGCAGTAGCGCTTCTGAATGACAACGGCAGCGCGGTAGATGCTCAAGTAACGCTGCCTGTCTCTTCTCATTCTGTAGCATGCCTGCARAAGTACTGCAGCCTTCTTCCATCTTTGAATTTGCTTCCTGACAAGATAGCCTCGAACTGCAGCTTGGATTCTTATGCAAGCATCTTTTAATTTCCTATAATCTTCTTTAAGCTGAAGAACATATCTACGAGCCCGATATCTTCGTTGGACATAAAGTGCTGCCTTCCTTAATGTACAGTAACGCTTGCGTGCTTGTCTCATCTTTACAAAAGCTTGGATCGTCACTGTTGCATTTTTTAAGCTTTTAAATCTCTTTCGGACAATATAAGCACGGTAACTCGACTGAATTTTTATCACAGATCTTAACACGCGGGCCTCTTTTCTAGCTTGCATTCCTCTGTAGGCCGACTGCAGGACAAGAGCAGCAAGACGTATCCTTTGGAAAGAGGAAGCTGCTTTTCTAGCAGTCACATATGCCCTGTAACGAGCTTGAATTACAGAAGCAGCATTTTTAGTCGCTTTATATCTCTTCACTTGTTGGTATTTTCTCACATGCGACTGCAGTGTAATRACAGATTGTTTTATGCGTAGAAATCTTAGTTTCTCTTGTCTCATTCTCCACAGTGACTGAACAATGCAAGCTGCCTTTGTTTGCCTGTAGAGCATACGAGCTCTCATGCTCCTAAAAGCAGCTTGGAGAACTATTACTGCTCTACGTTTTTGCAAATAGCTTTGCCTTTCCTTTTTTCCTGACCTGTAAGCTCTGTAATGCTGCTGAATTGTCACTATTCGTGCCCTATGTTCCTGGTAAATATGTCTTGCTAGCTGACACCTATACCAGGCCTGAATCTTGACAACACTTTGTTTAATACATAAATATTGCTTCAAGTCTCTGTGCATCCTATACCAAGACTGAATGACGAGGGCAGCTCGCTCCCTTTTAACCAGCTTTGAGGCCTGCCACTTTCGGAAATACGCCTGCAGTACTAACGCAGCTGCAATATTCTGATGAATTTTGTGTGTTCTCCATCTTCTGAATGCAGACTGAATAGTAAGTGCTGAGGACTTCAGGGTTTCGTATCTTTGACGATCTTCTTTCATCAACTTAGTGGCACGCAGATGGCGCTGAATGGTAACAGCAGCCCAAACAATTCGTTTATAAGAAGCAACAGACATCACCATCCTTATCCTTGCTTGTACAAGGATGGTATAGTATCTGAGCTGTAAATATCTCTTCCTAGAGGAGTACCTCCTCCAATGAGCCTGCAAGAAAAAAGAGCAAGTTTAGGATTTTTTCCATGATATCTAGGAGTTAAGTCTGAGGACGAGACCTAGGAATTAAGATTTCTTTATTCCTACTTGCCCCATGGAAATATAAGCCTAGATCTCTATGCAAAACCAATTTTATATGCTAACACATGGCTAAACTCACTCAGGCAGCAATGATGTCCTCTTAAACTACTTGATTCAACCATTCTTTAATGTCTACTCCAAAGAGAAGTCTTAAAAATACAATATTTCTTAGTAAGAGCAAGAAGGGTATCAAAAGTAACACAAGAAATTGATAAATAAATAATACATTAGGTTTTTAAGACAATCTCAATTGTTGCAAGCAGGGCAATTGATCCTGAACAGCGCTTTAACCTCACAGATTTCAAAGGATCTTGTATAATCTCACCAGATATCATATTACCTGAATAACTGTGGCAGATTTATTTCTGGCTTCCTCTAGCTTTGCCTTTTTTAGATTTAAAAATTTGATCCTGGCCAAGTATCTTCTCCACCACTTCTGGATCATTAGTGCTGCACTCTCCTTTTTAAGGATGCGTCGATCAGACAAGAACTTGACAGYATATTTTTGAATTATTCGAGCAGCTCTGTCTCTTTCCTACAAAGAGTGAATTTTCAGTTAGCACAGGAGTCTTCATTCAGTTATTTTAATATACCAAAAATTTATCTGAAGCCATCTCCCCAAAAAGTTAATAAAAAGCTAATTAAAAAATTAATCAAATTAAAAAGCTAATATCACAGTTTTTCTTCACCCTATTAAAATATCTTTTGTGATACAGAATATTATTTCAGCTCTATGGTCTCTGCAAATAGTTTTAAAGCCATCACAAGATCTGGCAGAACAATCTCAAAAGCAAGAAACAAACTACCCAAAAYAGTGCAATTCAACTCAAAATGCTTTGGTGGGCAAAGCTGGGCTCCTGAGCAAAAAACGTTAAGCCCACCTAGTTTAGTGTTTCTAAGCTAGAAAGCATAATTGATAGTAAATCRAAACAAACATCTCCCTTTTTAAGAATATTTGTCTTGGGGAAAGGGGGTGATACACTCTGATTAGAGTATAAAGTACGTCCCATGGAGAGCAGTAGTTACTCCAGAGTAGTAAACATTTTCACTAGCAAAAAAAATTATGTTTTGAAAAAGTGCTACTATTAATTTAAATGCCAATATTATTCTGATAAACCTGTACTCTTCAAACACTAAACTGGCATTATTCCATTTAATATTCCTCAAAATAGGAGCTACCAATATTGTACAAGCAAGAGATACCTGGAAGAGTTTCAGTTCCTTTTTCAGCTTGTACTTCCTCCAAGCTGACTGAATTAGTCGAGCAGCTCGAGTTTCTTCACGAAGATCTAGGAGCCGTGAACACACAAATGACAGGTAGGTAATAACAACCTAAAACACAGAACATAGAAAGTTAGGAAATATCTAGGAGAATAGGATATATTTAGACAAACTCTAGAGGCATCTTACCTTCTCATCAGGAATTGTATTTGACATATCAGAGTGATGAATCATTGCAGGTATTCCACCTAGGTCAGAAACTGCAGCATTGATCAGCTGGAAGTTTTTCTTTTCGTTTTCCAACAGTTCCTTGTATAGGACTGATGTAGTTACAGCTTTGCAAAGAAATGAAGATAATTGTCAAATCAAGTTGAAAAAGAAATTATTATGGATCTCTGCACATCAAATAACTCACTTTGGTCAAACATTCCTTCCAGGACGTTTAGAGAAGTATCGGACTCTGACGAGGAGGAGGAGGAGGAAGAGTTCAATCCCACTGTATGAGTTCTTGAGCATTCTACTGTTTGTGTTGTACGTTGGCAYACAGATTCCAAAGGCACATAACTGGGATGGTAGTGATGAATCAAGTGACACAATACTCTACCATCGGAGAAACATACTGTGAAGTTTTCCACCTGTTTAACAAAATACAGTAAGATATAAGTTTCTTAAATTTCTCATCCCAGGTAATTGGTGTAAACAGCATACAGAATTTGTCATCTTGTAGCACTGAAAGTGATGAAGTATGGCTTGGGCAAATTTATTTCAAACAAAGAAAGAGTATTAAAAGACTAGTGTTTTCCTTGGACATTCCACTCTATAGYGGCTTACAGCTGTAAGAAACAAATTAGGGCAAATTCAGTTCAGAACAACACTTAAAGTTAACAGATATGTACTAACAGCAAGTGGTAACTGTTTTTAACAATTCTGCTCTARAAGAATAAGCATTCTTATGAAAGCAAAATGTACCTTTGCAGACACCTACACAGAAATATTTACCTTGATATTATAAAATCCACAAACCGCATTGACCCAAGCCATCAGCAGCTCCACATTTTCACTGTAACCGTGAAATGAGGCGTTACTGTTATCATCTTGCCTTTTACTATCATCTGAAAAAGGCTTGAGACCGTTCAATTTTCTTTTTACTTTGTGTGCATTCTTTAAAAACTCTATTTCTTCTCTTAACTGTTCTACATTAAGATAAACATCCACCTATCAGAGAGAAGAGAAAAATAAATGAATATTTTACCACACCACCACCAGACTGATGTGCGACACACTKTAAGTAACTAGGATAAGCCTGCCGGATAGAGGGGCTTAAGGCATAGAATTTAAGGAAAAAATACTCTGACTTAGCAATCAGAAATTTGTCACATGTCCTTTTCAGTCAGTAAGAGCTTGGTAGCGTTTTGAGACTAACATATTTTTCTAATATTTTAACAAMGTATCACTTCTAATAGTATACAGCATAAGCTCAGAAGTTTTCCACAAAGAGTTGTACAAAAGTATTCCAGAAGAGAAAGCATAGTTAAAATGATCTCTAAAGTATATCATTAGGAAACACTTGKCAGGCAAGGCATGCATAGCACTTTGAACATCCAAAGCTGATCACTCCAGTCTAAACTCTGATTAGTGAAGGCTCCACAGACAACAAGGAACCACTGAAGAACCAGTCACATCTTCATTGTAAGTGGTATTAAAAATATATAACAATAATGAAATGGAACAGTACCTGGAAAGCAAAGACAATTTTCCACAACAGTGCTAAGGTTCGTTCTCTGTGTCTATCCACAATGTCTCTGGAATCAATTGAAGCACCTATCACACAAAACAAAGAATTAGAACACTGACTAGTGCTCAGCTGCACTTAGACTCTAACACTAATTTCTAGGCCTTACCACTTTCATCTTTCAACTGGATTCCTCGCTCTTTTAACACATTAAGAACAATATCAACATTATGCATCTTCTGAAGACGACTTATTGCAGGAACTCTCAGATGTTTTGAAAGATTCCAGTTTTTTGTGAGAAGTTCCATTGTTCTTCTAAAAAATAAATGAGAGTTTTATAGCTTAATGCCTATCTACTAAACTCACAATGGATATTATAAGCAAGAAATCAAAAATGATCTGTATCAACGCACACAAGACGAATGCCACATTGCAAGTCCACAGCCAGATTGGTTACAGCAAAATCAAATTCATCAAGTGGAGTCTGAACATGACTGACAGGTAGTCCCAGGAAACTCAGATGGCGGGAAAGGTCTCCCTCACCACTCAAGAAATCTCGAGAAAATGCCAGCAGAACATCTTTGCTACTCTAAAGAAAAAGAGGATAACAATGTTAGCACTGCAACACTTGTTAAGTATCAAGCGTATCCCTTGTGCCCAAAACTGCACTCCATATTTCCTTACCCAATACTTAAGACACCTGGCTTTTCATAATTTCAACTAGTTCATACACCTTTAATTTTCAAACCTAGCAATGCATCACCAAAACCACCAAATCCACAAATACAGTAGCAACACTATTGCTACAGTAGCAACACTATCAAAGCTTTAATGGGAATTTTTTTTATATAACCACAAGATCATGTGTTGAGAACGTTCATGTAAAAGTCTGAACAGCGAAGATCTGTTAGAAAGCAGCATTTATTCAAATAAATTACACAGGTTCTCCATCCAATCATAAAACAATATTAGAAGAAGGCACTAAATCTCAGCTCTCTTACCTTAAAATCTGCATCCTTGCAGAAGAGGCAGGGGTCATGGTCAATGATTCTAGACTTCTTGGCACAATCCAGAAAGCAAATTAACAGCAGCAATTTCTTCAGTGTGAATTTTGATAAAGCTTCCTCATGGCCTAAAAGGATGAAATTCATAAACTCATAGTTTCATAAACTCAAAGTCAAGGGCTAAAAATAAACTATTTGAAGAGAGTAGTTACCTTCTCGGTAGAGGTGAGGCACAGTGGGATGTCTGTATTCTGCTGCAATGTCAGGGTTCCAAAGCAAGCGATTAAGAATAAATATCGCTAACCCCATAACATCACTATTGCTCTCCAAACTTATCAGCTCTCCATAAACAGTCTAACAGAAAGGAAGGGAGGAGAGAGGAAAAAAATTAAAAAAAAAAAAGGAGGGAGAATATCATTACAGATATTTTTAATTATGGAGGGGTTTTCTGAACAACATAAACTGAAATTATATAGTGGTAAATAGCATAGCTATAAATGTTAAAGTAATTGGTCAGTATACTCTAAAATCATCTGAATTTTCTAATCAGTCAGTAAAGGATCAAGTCAAAAGAAGTTTCAAAAGCAAATCTCATCTAATTTAAAGATGTACACAATCGTCTTTGTCTGCAGACTCGGTCAAGAACACCTCTAGGAGGGCTGCAGCTCCCTACAGTTTAGGAAAGAGTGAAACCAACACTAAAGCAAACTAAAATTTTGCGATATTGGTCAGGGAGATAACTTCCAATCTGCTTCAAAGCAAGTCTGTTTTAGTAAGAGYTACGTGCTATAACTAAAATTAACTGACATGCATTATTAAAACAGAAAACAAACAAAAAGCACTAAACACTTGCAACTGCTAGAACTCTGTAAAGTTCTGGCTATGGGCGATTAACTCTGCACTTACCTCCAGACCTATACGGAGCCACAAAGGGTTGTAAGAGAGAAGCCAGTTAAGGACCTTCTGTCTTTCTCCTGCAAAATAATGTCTGGTAAGATTACATCCAACAAACATTTCATACTTACACTAAATTTGCTTACTATATGAAAATCCCTTCTTCTTCTTCTTCTTCCTAGATGATAATGCAAGTCTTTACCATTCTTACCTACATCTTTCCATAGATGTCTGTCTTTACGGACCAGCAAACGTCTACTTTCGATCTCAACTTCCAGCTTCTTAATGGCTTTGACCATTTTTTCAGATGTAAACAAGCGGCAAGCTGCACGTCGCAGCTTATTCAGCCTGCGCTGAGCTGTATAAGCTTTGAGAGATACTTCATCTTTTGTTGGTGCCTTAGGTACACTGGTTTTATGGTGGTGCTCTGCTCCCAAGATAAGAGCTGCTGCGTTCACTGCTTAAACAGATACACAAAAAGCAGGTCTTTACATTTCAAGCAAACATTTTGTTGTTTTGGCTTTTTTTTTTAAGCTTTGAATAATAGCTTTATTCCTCAGAAAGCTTATGATCTGTGTCAGTAAATACGTTCTGTTAAGCCCATGAATTAGTCAAGTACTTAATATGACAATACTTATTTCATAACTTTGCAATGCTAGGAATTCAATTCTAAGGTAAATTATACCTTCTTCATTTTTTCTTGCTCAAGGCAAAGGTAGAAGAAAAAAATACAACTACACTATACTATCATTTTATTATAGTGGCAGTTACAATGATTTTGAGCAAGTGCAGATTCTCTCCAACACACTCACTGAGGGCTGCTGGAGATGCATGTTCCAGTGAATATTTCCTGTTCCAGTGCATACTTCCTATTGAGGTGTATCACAACAGGGAAATAAGACTCAGAAAGAGCCAGAGGACTACAAAGTTCTGTCAGAATGGACAACACCCCAGTAAAAGTCTTAGCACATTTCATGGTTTTTTTTTTTTTTTTTTAAATCACTGAAACATATTACTAAATATTTGCTTTATAATTATTTTGTCTAAAGTAAAATGCAGAACAGTGAAACACAGGACATATAAATATGAAGAAAACCCTACTCTTACATAAAAGTTGAGTGCAACATACAGTAAAATGAAAAATTAAGACTAGCACTAAGCCAGTTCTTCCAGTTATTTTCAACAGTATTAGTATCACAAATTATATAACATTTAAGAAAATTAAAAGATGAAGGATAAGTTCTCCTTYTACCTTGTGAGGTGTTTGCTTTTACAGTGAAGTCATCAGGGGTAAGTATAAAATTTAACCACCAGGTGAAACCTCGTTGTTGCTTCTCCTTCCAGCGCTCATCATAAAACATGTTCTTAGCAGCAAAAGGCATTGGATGTCTGGGAATGACTAAAAAAAGTGAAAATGTAAGAGCTCTTCAAATGTTTGGTAAGTGACTTACATCTCACTGTGGAATGTATTATGTTTGACATTCTATTTAGCACTATAACAGAAAAAGAGCAGGCTGGAATCCTAAGAGACTTGTACATCAGACAATTAAATCAATTCCTCCCTTCAACAGAAAAAGAGCAGGCTGGAATCCTAAGAGACTTGTACATCAGACAATTAAATCAATTCCTCCCTTCCTCCTACAAATAATGGATTAGATTATTAAAACACTTGGAATAAAAACAAGGTTTCTTGAACGCTAGCCATTTGCAAGACACCTTAGAGCAAATACAAGTTGAGGAACAACCATTTTACAGATTCATTTTTCTGACCAGAACAGGTTTAGTATTATCAGTTGCATGAAATCATTATCTTTCTGGTAGCAAGTTCTCTCTTCTGGAGCAAAAGAGGTGTTTCACTAACCATCAGTCAGTCAGCTGGGAGTACATCTACRATACAGCTTTTCAGAATTTCTGTTTATAGTGGAGAGAAGCAATATCTACTTTCAGCTGACCATGTAATGCAATCAGTTTTCCGTGTGAATAATCATGACGTAGCTTGAAAGGTAGACAGCTTTTTTTCTACTAGATATCGTTTTGCTTTAAGGAGCTGTATCCTATTCCTCCCAGCTGTACCCAAATTGGGACTTGCCAATCACAAGCAATACCAGAACAGCAACTGGAACATTCAGTTCAGTGAATATTGAAATTCCACAAAATACCAGAATTCTGCCTACCTGTTTTTAACGGTTTCACAAATGTCAGGTGAGACTGAGCCAATCCAGCAACAGGTTTACTAATTCTGTTGGTAGTTTTAGATGCTTTCTGAAGTGAAGAACCTGTGAGCATTGACATACAAATATCAATAACAAACATCTGTCAGTGAAAGTCAACATGTCATCAAACAGAAAATATTAATGTTTGTAACACTGCTRAACTGTGCAACTGGAGTAATTCACTATGAACCCATATAAGACACCAGTAATTTTTGTGAGTGATGAAGAAAGTTCAGCAAAGCCTGACTGCAGTCAAAAGGAGGAAAAACAAACAAATAAAAACTCTAAAAAACTAGGAATGAAAAACAGCTATTGTATCTCATAGTCCTTCCTTACGCTAAGGAAGTTCACAATTTTTTCCCCAACAGATTTTCAACATTACGTATTACTAACTTTGCCTGAGAACAGATTCTTTACTACCTCAGGGATGGAGGTGGACAGACAGACTGAATGGAATTCCTGAGTCATTAGCTAGGAAAAAGAAAAGAGCATTAACGTGCAAACTTGTACTCACAGATTCATTCACTGYTCTGCACATGTTTACAGCTCTGAGATCAGTCATATTGAATGTCAAATCCTCACTTGCAATAACAGCATACTGGTTATCAGAAGTTATAGATCAAAACTCAAATGTTATCGAAACCCAAAATGGTAATTAAGTGGAAACATCGCATCGTGATAAACTGCAGTTATTGTGAAGCATCATCGGGATCTAAGCTAACTCAAAGAGCTAATCAGCGGAAAGTTAAAACACAATATTCAGGAAGTGCTCTGGATTGTGACTGGGTGTTAGCTGGTACCATCCACCACCTAGTGGCAGAAGTGCTTATATGCAACACAAAAAAAAATCTCTGCTTTCTGAATTCTACTTTCAATGTGTAAAAAATACATTTTTCAGTACAATTAATTTTCTTACACTGATAGAGAACAAAGGATTTAAAAATCATGCTGTAACAGATGGACTATATTTGGTGCCTGACACCCCGACACCCTGAAAAAGTAGTCTTTTCATGAAACATTCACTGTTACAAATTTCTTTTGGAGCTAACAATATTTCCTCATCCAATCCATTCTTAGATCAATAGATGTATGCGAACAAAGTTATGAATAAAACTGTTTTTCCTGCTGGACACTGATATGGTAAATCTCTATGCAAGCTATCTTCAAAAGCTTCAAATTATAGCATATCATTGAAAACCCCAGATCAAAAATAGACCACAGAAGAGATTAGCATATGTTCTTTAACATGGTCTCCTGTAGAATTCCCAATGGTTTCAAAACTAGATTTTTGGATAACTGAATTAAATGCACATGCTATTTTATTCTGGAAGCTTTCCTGGTAGCTCTACTTCAGGGACTGCATGAAGATTCTGCAAATGAAGAATGGGGTTCTCTAACAGAAAGGCACATTCTGGAGCATATTTAGGAATGCAACATTTTGAAACTCAATTTTTTTTTAAATACAAGAAGTCACTTATCCTGATCTTCAGGCAACGAAGTACTTGTACACGAGACTGACCTACACAAGGCTAAGAGCCAGCTGATTACATACAGGAAAAAGGAGGCAGCGTTAAACACAGACTTGGGAACTACATTTTTGAAAATGTCATGAGCAATCCATTCAAATATTTGTAACAGCTAGTGAGTATATGACAGGAATCAGACTTCAAGCCAATCACATAACTCCAATTTTGACCTAGTTCTCAACGTTGTAAGATGCAGATAATATCTAACAAATTGCAGAGATTCACATTACAGGGATAGGAAATACACTAGATGGCTCAGTTGGCTACACAATTTTTACAATACTACATAAAGGAAACGCCGCTCACCAGCTTTCTTCCTCTGTGCTACTTTCTCTCGGCTTTGATGTTTGATGGCTCCTGGTCTGAAAGCAGCGTGTGTTTTATCATCCACACTAGACATCAGAGTTCTTTTTGTTTCAATTTCCTCCACATGTGCCAGAACTGCAGTGCTAGTGCTTTCTAGGTGCACTTCACTTTTCCTCTTACGGCTCAATGAAGTTGATCCAGTGCATGAATTTACTTTGTCATGACATTTGTTTTCAGCCGAAATGGGTCCTATAACTGGAAGGTGTCTAGCTGTTTCTGCCTTGGTCTGTACAGGAAACACGTTAGTACACTCTATTACTGCATTATTGAGGCATTTTCTAGATTTTGGCTGGATGTTTTCTGTTCTTTTTCTTTCAACAGCATCAGGCTTATTTTTAATGACAGTAGCAGAAAGGACTGGACGTTTTTTYGGTTGGTCTCTTTGAGAAGAGCTGCAGGTTTGACGTTCCTCTGTAGAAGGAAAACTGAAGTGGTTTTGTTTAGGTTTGACATAATGAATTTCCTGTGATTCCACAGCACATATCTCAAAGGCATTATTTAACTTGTGTCCTGTACAAACATGCACTTTTGTTTGTACGTGTCCATTTTTGACTCGTTTCTTTACAACATAAGTCTCTGCAGTAGAAGATACAGAAGCTGCTTCAAATTTGGGAGTCTTTGACTGCACATCTGATAAGGTGTCTCTCACAAACTGATCAGGTGACAGAATTGGAACAGGTTGCTCTATTGCAATGTCTTCAACCTGGTAACTGTCCTTTATAAAAGAATCTGGACTTAAAATTCTCCTCGTGCCCGAAATGGGCACAGACACTGAACGCTCAGGAGTGTGAACAGGTGAAAGTGTACAATTAAGAATTACTTCATTACTTGAAGCTGTCAGTTGTCCTAATCTGTTGGAAGAACTGTAGGCACTTTCAGATTTTGATTCATTGTGATGATCAACAAGTTTCTTGAGGTTACATCTGTCTATTTCAGGTAACAAGTCCTCATTTATAGCTGCAGCAACATCTGAAAACATAGTAGATCTTCTCATTGAAATGGGTGTACAAGCAGCATCATGATCTTCCTCTAGCATAGGTGTAATAGGAGATATAGGCAGCTTATTCTCTAGGCCAGCAAAGGAGTCATTTCTTGAGGATACGCTGCTTTGCTTTGTATTCTGATTTTCACATGATTGAAGYGGGCTTCTAAGTGTATCCAACCTCTGTGAAACTTGAAAGGTTTTATTAGCRTTTTTAACTTTTGAATTTTTCTTCTTAACTCTTGTTGAAACAGCTGTTTCAGAAGTGTTTCTCCTTTTTATGTTATCCCAAAGACTCTTCTGAAAAGGAATAAWAAATACAAGTTAGCCTGCTAGGTTTCAACTTGTATACACAAAATGAACRTTATTAATATATATTTTTGAGTTCAAAGTCTAAAAATACTTCTAAAAGATCATCTAGCCATGTAGTATATAAAGGAATGAAGGCAGGTTGAAGGAAATGGGTTTGTTCAATCTGTGGAAGAAAGCTGAAGCACCCACACCTTGTGAGGTTAGCGGGTTGGAATCTAATCACCATCTTCCAATACCTAAAAAATAGTTATAGATGTTGTAAGAATGCATAGCGATATGACAAAAGGCATTGGGCACAGATCACTTCTGAGGAAACTCCCTTTGGATACAAAGAAAAATGAATTCTTAACCAYTAGAAAAGCTAAAGATAGGAGAGCGCTCCAGATAAGCTAGTCTAAAGCCTTGTTTTTAGTTTGAACATGAAAATCTCCAGATTGCTTCAAGCTAGACTTCTCAGATTCTATGATTGCAATAAACTGCAAACTTACACCCAAAATACATCAGCAGAACAACAAAAAACACAACTGATAATAATAAATGAAGGAAAGCYAAAACCAATGTTCCTAGTCCAAAATTCAGCACAGCTTTTTTCCAGGCTTGAATGTAGTTATTTCCCCAGTCACACACTACTTTTATTCTTCAAGCTCTAATAMACAAGTAACTATTTCCTAAAACCAGTTTCAGGGCAACGGACACTCACACAAACATTCATTAATTATTAATTTGCCATTATTTGATTTTGCACTAACAGAAATAATATCCGTTTCAACTGTTTAAAARCAGTAGAATTAATCACACTCACTTTTTTCTTCACAGGTCGCTCAACAACACCCAGGAGCACAGCTTGATGTTTCACAATGCCATTAATAACAAAAGTTACCAGTTCTCTAACTCTTCCTTCTTCTAACGGTGTCCATGTTATAGGAATAAAGATTCTTTCTCCTGACTATAGRAAAGAAAGAAGTGTTTAGTATATTGCGATAAGGTACATTGATGTCATTTATCATTTCTCACATTCAGAATACATGATTGTAAGATGTCAGTTTTTCCCTTCTCTAACGTGTAAAATTAAGCAACCGCAATAAACAACMTAACATCAACAGCCCCAATATCAACAATGCTGTCTTACAGGACATATAATTCTTCATGTAATTATAAAGGAAAAGAAACAAGCACGTAAAAGTAACATGCAATGGAAAGGACAAAGTCACAGAGTAAAGGTKAAAAGATACAACACTGTTTTTGCACCAACAAAGTCCTCTACAGTAATTTTCAGAGAACAGTATATAGACTAATAGTTATAGCTTAATTTTCAAGACTTTAACTGAATCTAGAGTAAAGCTTTTTAGATTTTAACTGACTTACAAAATCAATACTCCGCAGAGATGTTTGTCATACAAGTTCAGTGAATAAAAACAAAGACATTGCATGTCTAACCTGCAAGTAAACAGCAATGTCACGGAGCTAACTAGGAGCTATGATTTTTCATACCCAATGACCTACCAAATTTCTTCAGTGCTCTGCTGATACCAATGCTAACAGGCTAAACAGCTTACAGTTCAAAYTGGCTCAAAAAGAGAATATTAAAAAGACAAAGCTTTAGGGCATTGGAATTCAGAATTCCAACTCTCTGGGCAAATACATTTAACAAAAACATGCAGATTAGCTAAATACTTATTGTTTTTGACAGGTTTGCTGCATACTGAGTAATTATTASCACAAGAACATGTTATTCAAGTACTGCACAGTGTGAGCTTCCAGGCTGCTTGGACACACATTGCCCCAAGAGCTCTCCAGGGTGTTTTTACTCCTCCCTCCTACAGAAGGACTCTAGGGAATCTGGAGAGCCACAGGCACATGCTTGACTAAGCATCTCATAAAAAAACTGCCGCTGACTGGACTAGCTATTTACTGTTTATATTCCCTTGGAGATTGCAATWAAGATTAATTTGAAAAATAAGCCTGTTTTACCACCTGTTCTATCAACAGGAAGAGCAAGGAACTAGCATTCCACTCACAACTCTCAGTCTTTTTCTTTTTTTCTAAAGAGATATCCTATAACTGTTTAAGAAGCTATTAAAATAAAAACAAACAAACAAACAACACCCCGATCCTGCCTTTGATTTCCTTTGATGCCGTTATACCTGCRAGGACACTTGAAAACCGAGGGTTTTTCAGCACCGGGCGGAGAACCGGTCGTTTCTCGCACCTCAGGGAGCCCAGGGGATCCTCCCCCGCCCCGCTCTCGCTTCTGCGGGGGRTGCTGCCGCCTTCGCGGCCTGTGACGGCCCCAAAGGGGCGCGGATGCCGCTGTCCAGGGGGCTGCACGAAACGCGGTACCTGCGGCTGCCCCCGGCCGCGCCTCGGAGCGTCCCCGCTTCCTCGGCATCGCCTCACGCTCTGACATTTAAAGCCCACCTCCTCCCAGGAGAGGAGGGAAGGGGGAACTGCCCCGGGAGCCCCCTGCCCGGCGCGGTACCTGCACAGAGAAGCGGCGATGCTCCAGGCTGAAGCCCTTGGCGGCGGGCGGGAAGCGCTCCACTTCCACCTCGGCGTCCTCCGCGTTGGGGTTGTCGAGGCGCAGCAGGCGCGTGCGGGAGGCGCCGAGGCGCAGGCTGCCAAAGCTGAGGAAGGGCGGCCGGGAGAAGTGGCTGAGCACGAGCACGGCCTCGTCCTCCTCATCCTCCTCCTGCTGCGGCGCAGCCCAGCGCCGCCGGGCGCTCGCGGCGGGGCTCAGCGCCCACGCGGCGCCGGGGAGCAGCGCGGCGGCCATAGGGGGACGCGGGGCCGGGCGGCGGCGGCGGCAGCTCCGGCTCCGCACGCAGCCACGGGGGCTCCGCACGCAGCCACGGGGGCTCCGCGGCACCAACGGCCGCGCCGCCGCCCGCCCGTTCAAATCCTGCGGCTCCACCAATGGGCGCGCAGCACCGCGCCCCCGCGCCATCCGTCACTCCGCCGCTAGCGCCCGCCCCCCGCGGCGCTCTGCCAATGAGGGCCCGCCGTTTGATTTAAACGGCCCCACGGCGTTGCCCGGGTGATGCGGGGCGGGGCTTGAGCCGAGCCCGCCCCTGCGCCAAGGTGAAGCGGGAGGTGATGGCGSCTGACAGGAAGGACCCTGAGCAAAAAAAGAATAGTTCCTATATAAAAAAATCAGGAGCAGCCACGTTTGTTTTTCTAAATAAATTTAATTTACAAAATATTTTAAAATAAAAAGTAGAAGCAAACACACACACAGTTGACCAAAAGCCTGCGCCTCAGCTTTTTTTAATCCTTCAAGAACTTCCAAACCAAAGGACATACAAAGCATTCCATGCTATCAAAAAAAATAAAATAAAAATTTAAAAATAAAGTGGGGAGGGGAGAACCCGAATCCCGAGGCAGCCCTGCAGGACAGGAGCCCCAGGTAGCAAGCCATGTTACGACAACAGAACTTTACAATACGTTTCCATAACGACCAAAATGACATATAGGACCGAGTACCTCTACATTTACAGTACGCTTCCTATCTTTTCCTTACAGCAAACAGATTTCCCCTAAAAAAAAGACAACTTTTAGAGACTGCCATCTAAAATATCAACCTATACGGACCACATTTAAAACACAGCATTTCATATACCAGTGACAAAATATTGAGTTTATTTTCACCTTATTCTTTCATATAAAAGCATCGACATTTAAACAAAAATGGCTGGGAAGGGGGGATTCCAAACCATTTTCTGCTGTTACTGTCAACACATCCAGCCCTTTTATACCAAAACATTTCTTAKGAATGAGGGAAAAGATCCTCATGGGCTTATAGCAAAGCTTCTGCCTCGCATTACATTCAGATTTTTTTTTTTTTTTTAAATGCACATGATGAAACAACCAAAACACTGCAAGGTAGCATTAAAAAAAAAAAAACAGAAGGCGCTGCAGATATACATACCCCATCCCCCTGAAGCTTTAGTCCTATTTAAGAACACACAGTCCTAAATGCACTATGCATTATGCTTCAATATAGAAACATTGCAGATCTTTTTATTATTTTGAATGAAAAAAAAAAAAGCAGCCACTGATGTGCCACAGCCTTCTCAGAAATCATCCATGCTCCTTTGTGTGAATTTCTAGACAGAAGTTTTCCCTCCTTTTAACAAAAAACTTAAGGAGTATTTTATTCCTTAGCGTTTGATCGCATGTACCACATTGCTCTTGAGTCTTCTTCAGACTTCTAGATATTCTTCTGCTTTTGTTAAAACCTTACTGCTTTGATACCAATAAACAAATCCTTTGTCATCACACTGTGTTTCAACATGATACAAACTATGATCCAGGCTGAAGTAGCGCTATATTTTTAAGGAAACCACAATCTATGGAAATATACATCACCTTTATAATTACTGATGCTGTTCAGCATAAAAAGAACCCATGAAAGCCATACCTCTGTCGGAAAAGTGTCAGTGCTCAAGGAGGAAATTCCAATATAAATAAATAAAACTAAATATAAAATCCATTTAAAGAAATAAGGGCAGACAACAGCTACATAACACTAAATTAAAGAGAAGAAAGAAAAAGAGAGAGAGAAAGAATTTGGATGTTTAAAGCAAATGAATGCAGTAAGTTCTCAGAACCATGCAAGAGCTCAGAGCACCGAGACTCTTCTCCTCTCCCCAAAGGTCAGGGTACAGAAAAGATGAAGCTTTGCAATGCATCACTGATCACTCTTTAAAGATAAACCTCCTTCTTCCTTCTTTGGCAGTTAATGGTCAATGCAGTAAACTGCTGTCAGAAAAAAAAATACCGTTTATTTTAAGGGTTGCCTCCAAGCAATGCACTGTTTTATGAGCACATAGACATGTTACAGTGGAGACACCAGACAGCTAAGGAGTTTTGACCAATGCAGCTGTGAGGTTCAGATCCCTGTCTTTCAGTTCCTGCCTTCTTACAAGGAACTGCCTTCCATCAAGCTCCTAGAACATGCCAAATAAAGTACCAGCCTATGAATATTTACTTTGCTCATATATGAATTCAGACATAATGCCATTAAGATTTATAGCTCATGATATTAAAAAAATAAAAACTATGTATCTAGCACTTAAGTTTTCCTATTCTCTTTCACTGCCAACTGGCAATGATCCAGCCTGACCAGCAGGTAAAAACACTAACTAGTCTGGTTGTCCGCAAATAAAAGAGTGCCAAAGAACTAGTAGGTCATTTTTTTTTCCTAGGAATGACTAGCAATTCTCATTAACCAAACACAAAAGTTGGTGCTCATTTTTCTGAATAACAAGCCCTTTTACAGCCTGTTTCTTTTGGGGCACCCAAAAACCATGAAGAACTTCGGAAGATACTGACCTTAATTKTAATGACCTTAATAATCAACCAAACTAATGAAAAAGCCAGTATTCAGAGTAAATATAAAAGGCACAATCAGGAAACACTTTAAAAGGACATTATCAAGTAAACATGCTCCAGATTCCATTTTAACTGGAGTGCCTTCCAGACCAACTGTATTTTAAAAGAAAAAAAAATATATATATATAGTTGCCAACTATAGTTGGCAGTTAAAATCCTACAATCCTATTGTGGAATAACCAAAAAGAGTAGCCTTTTAAACTGAGAACTGTACTGACACTATTGATGTCAAGTTGTTCTGAATGGTACGACTGTAAATGCTGGAAATCACTTGTTTCATGGTCACATGCAGTAGTACGGATATGATGCTTGTCAGGTGGAACATTACAGATGAAATAGCTACGAAGTGTAAAGATGACAGAAGTGGTTTCTTTTTTAAAAAGAGGTGCAGGTGGAGTTAGCAAGCAGGAAGGACTTGATAGCGTCCTTTCAGAAGGTGGCATTCAATGGCCTAATTATTGCTGTGTATTAGCTAGTACTCAGCTTCTTACCAGATAMATTTACAGCACGTCAGTCTGAACATTCCCAGAGCACAGCTCTAAATTTTGCTTTAGAGATATAAACATAGAACAGTTAAATATACGCAGTCCTGTTTTAAAAACTTAACTTTCAAAGTTTAGGACTTCTATTGTGCTTCTTTGGATAAGTCCTATTTAAATATTGATAACACTTAGATCCTATAACTTTTCCACTACTAAACAGCTAACAGAAATCTTTGGTGTGTTTAGGTAAGAATCCATTAGGGTACAAGCTTCAAAACAAGAACATTCAGGCAGCTCTGGCCCCTCTCTTACAACTTGCTCGGTACTGAAGTAGATGGACATCAAAAGAACCTAACACTTAAGTACTTAAATAGAATTTAAAATGATCAGTGTCATTTAGAGGCTGTAGAACTAAGGTGATAAAAGAACTTCTCATCAAATATCATTTATAGCCAGGCCTTTGGATAAATTTAAATTTCTCACAGTAACACTCACACTTCTAGTTTCCCATTTTAAAACCATTAATATAAAATTTCTTTAAAATAGGAGGAATAGCAGATTTCTGAGGAAACTGGGGAAAACTCTGCCTTAGAATGTAACATTTATGAGGAATAATTACAAGGAAAACACGACTTCCCATAATTTCTTTGGCATAATCTTGACCAAATCAACACAGCGCACATTATTTTTAGAGTACGCTTAAAATAGACAATCTGATGGGCTTAAATAACACCAGATTTCATGTTAAATTACACTAAACTTCTAGTACAAAACAGTTCCTTTTGAAAAAATCCTTACCTTGAGTAAAGAAAAAGGTAAAATTAAAAATACGGAATACTCTTAAGAGTTTGACTTTGTTTCATAAACATAGCAAAAGAAACTGAAAAACAAAACAATTTTGTTAGGAACAAGAGATTTATAATTATTCATTAATTCTTTTTTTAAATAAAAGCAGAGCGCTGTGCTGGAAGTAATAGCCTTTAAATTTCTTCATGGCAAATCTTGAAAATGAGTATGCCAGTGAGGGATTAGAGCAAAATTTATGCTCTGACAAGGATAAGCCATGCTAATCCTTTATTACTGTTCACAGCTTAAAATGACCTTGCAAATACTATAATTTCTCTCAAAGTTATAGTGTTGGGCACACTTTAGAAGGAAGAATAAAGAAGCAAGGAAAAAAAAGACAAAAATTTATATATCTTTAGAAAATCARGCAATACTGATGTCTAAATTCTCACACATAATTCAGTATCTAACACTGGAGACTGAGGAATAAATAAGAGACCTGATTCAGCCTAATCTCTCTATACTTGATTTTCTTACTTTGGGCAATCTTTACAACACTCTGCTGTAAAGTCTGCTTGGGGACTTCAGAGAATATCCGAATCACTTTCTAGAAGAGTCTAGTTCTGGTGTCCAGTGGCTAGCCTTAATTGTCAGTCAGAATTTACACCCCCTAATGATGTTTGAGGGTTCAATTACAACTATATTTTAATTTATATGTAAAACACAAATTGATTTTTTAAATATTTCTGCCCCCTCTCCCCACTGAAACTTTTAATGAACTGGACCTAGCCCTTATTCTTCCAGTATGCTTTCTGTTACACTCAAAGCATTAACTTGGTGAGATGCAGAAAGGCAAACTATTTTAAATTAATAGTCAGATATGTAATTAGATTTTTCGGCAAACTAACCTTAAAAGGTATTTCAGAGCTTTTTTTTTTTTTTAAAGACCACCTGTAAGCTTTTTAAAAACTCTTAAAATCACACAAACACTCTCTTGATATGCATAAAAGTGTGCCTATATGGTCAAATATTATGTAAACAAACCTGTTTTTCCAAAACTATGCAGAAGACTCATGAGTCCAAATAAAATATAAATCTTGATTGCCATACCAGCCTCCTGTTGGCTAAYGGCTTACAAAGTTAGGCGGAATGTTATGGTCGGATCATGAATGTTCATTGTTTGAAATATTTTGCACAGTAGGAGCTGCATCTAGCCCCAGTAAAGTTCCAAGGTATGACTGGTCTCTGGGATCCAACATCTGCTCAGGCCTTACAGGATGAACAATATTTGCAGGCTGTGGAGTGAGGGTGTATTTCTCTAGAAAGGATAAATCTGGGGCTCGCTGATAGTCTGCCTGCTCGGGCTGGGCAGGGAGCATGGCGTGGGGCTGAGCAGCGTGCTGCACCAGAGCCGCTTGCGGCTCAGACATCTGAACGGGCACCAAAGTCACGGGCACGCACACTTCGGGAGGTACATTCTGCAGCAAACCTTTCGCTTCTGTCTGATATGCTTTTGACTGTTCCACATACTGTTTATCCTCCGTTTGGTAAACCTTGTCATCAGACGGGTACTGCACTGGTAGGGAGACTAACTTTTCCTCTGAAGAAGATGTCAGCGCCTCTTCGGCGGCCTTCGTTCCATGCACGTGATCAATATGATACTTGAGCTTGTCTTTTCGTTTGAATGTTGCATTGCAATGCTGGCAATTAAAAGGTCGTGCGTCTGAATGAATAACCATGTGCTTTGTTAATGTCTTCTTAATTCTGAAAGACTGGTTACAGATTTGACATTTGTATGGTTTTTCACCTAGAAAGAAACAAAATTAAGAATTAAAGGTAAACAGTTATGCTGAGTAAAACTCTCTCACACATGTATATGGAAATACATACATTCTATGTGTTACAGCATAGAAACCTTTTATAAAGACAGCTCCACTGCAAAGGAAAAATATGTTTATCAACGATTTGGCAATCAAGAGTGCCACTGTAAGTCTGTATAAGATGGCACTAGTATATCCTTTCCCTTAAATCAGTTACCCCAATACTTGGAATATTTGGCAAGTACACATAGAATATAAACCCAATTTAAAAAGAACGGTCTTTAAACTGGCATGATACTGATATTCAATTAGCTCTATTTGTATTTTTTACATATTTCAAAAGAATAGTAACTCTTGAAAACATAAGGCACGAAAGGTAACACAACACATAAAAACAAACGTTTCTGAATAGGATTTCAAAATTTTATATCATCAACTAAAGTTTAGTATTGCCTGCACCACACAACTAATTAGAAAGTGTGGGTAAATTTGGAAGCATATGCAATTTGCATCTGCAGATTAATGAAGAGGTGTAGAGAGCACACCACAAAGTCTATGCTGAGGATTCTTAATATTTCATTCATTCAGAAGATTACATTCAGGCAGGGCCAACATACAACCACAAAAACTACTACTCTGGCCCCAACTGCTCAAAAGTTACAATGATTCAAACAATTCCATTGATTTTGATGTATAGGCTCCTACACATTTTTTTTTTTTACCTGAATGTGTCCTAAAATGCATTTCCAAACTTGATTTCCCTTTAAAAACTTTCTTACAGACTTCACATTGATGAAATGTTGCTTTGTATCTTTAAATGAGAAAACATATTTCATGTTACCTTTTTTAAACAAAAATACTAACACTATGAACAGCACTTTGAGAAATTCTTAACTGCAAAATAGCTGAATTTCAAAATTTGCACATTTCTTCACCTACATTCCTATTTACCAGCATATATATATATATACACACACACACACACACACACACATATAAACATTTATCAATTAAATCAGTTAAGTTCTTTTCTATATTCACTATTATTCTCTGTTGCATTAAAAGACTGGCACTTAGCATTGAAAGAGAAAAAGGCACTAAAACTTCTCTGAACTCAAAGCAAAATCTTTTCTGTTCCAAATATAAGATATAATATTTTAGTCTATCATCATCATGTTGTGGCAAAATTATGCCACAAGTTGATTATTAACAACWGTTTAGGCTATTTGCTATCAGGAGGAAAAAAACGAGCAAACAAACATAAAATACACAATACACCACATTTCTGACACAGAAAAAGTTTATAGTGAGTTATGCAATGCTAGCAAAGAAAAGCATTTAAAATATGTTACTTGAAAAAAACCCCTAGGTTTCCATTTTTCAAAAAAAAATCCCATTTTTCATTTGAAAAAATCTCTGAAAGGCTTATTTTTGGAAGAATTAAAAATCCTACTGTATTTGCAATTTCTCTATAAACACACTTATGGCTTCAGAGCTTTGACCTACTTTCAAAGTAACAAACTACTACCAACTTCTAAAATAGGCAAGTGTGGGAGAGTTCTCACAGAGCCTAAATGAAAGCTGGTATATTAGTCTTAACTGAACAGTAAGAAATATTATAGCAAAACATATATGTAAAGCAAGAGTAAGACAGACTCTACAGGACTAAAATTTGATTCCTTATTGAATTCTGTTTCCTTAATTAAGTTACCAAGGAAGTGTTGTTTAAATGGTGAAGATAATTTTCTGACATCTATTTCAAACCATAATGACATCTCTACCAAGAACTAAAGCACAACAAACACAGCCTACTAGAATTCTGTGTGAACACGTAAGTCTTAACAGAAGTTCAGTTACAGTGCAAAAGCACTTATGCAGTTACCAAACACATACTTACTTCTGCCAAACTTTTTCTCCTAGATGAACACTTTTATAATGAACAGTGAGGTGATCTCTACGACCAAAACACTTTCCACATTCCTCACACTGATGTGCTTTTTCACCTTTAAGGGCAAAATTCAACAGAACTTAATTAAATCTTCTAGAATTTTTGCATTCTTTTTAAACATATAAGAGCTGCAATTGCAGAACATACAATATAGCCATGTCCACGAACAAAGTCCAGCCAGTCAAGCTCTTCCATACCTTTTTCAGCATTTATGCCAGAAGATCCCATGTTACCAGAGGATTAAAAATCAGGATGTATAGCTAGTTCTATCAGAAYAGGATTTTTTACCACTCTTTATTTATGGCTATTACTGAAATTTTCTCAGGCCCTACATATTAATTCATGCTCATTAGTTAGGGGGATACTTCCCCAAACTTCCGCTGCACCAGAAGAAAAAGGAGGTTTAAAAGAATTACTAGGAAACCATTCTCTTATGTCCTGAAATGTTGTATGTTCAAAATTCAAACCCAAAAGGTTCCAAAACAGAAGCTTATTTAAACATACAACTTACTTTCAGCCACTAATTTCTAGAGCTTAAGATTTTATCTAAGTAGGTTTTTTAATTATCCTGTTTTTACATATTTACCTTTTCCTTTTATGCTGCTGTTTAAAAGTATCTTGATTCTTTTTAGTCATCTTGAGATCTTCTACAAAGTGGAAGAATGTTTCTTCTCATGTAAGCAGGAGGCGTGTGGACAGTCAAAGAATGTAACTTTCTAGAGGAGGGAAAAAGCAAATAGAGTAGAAAAGAGGATTTTTTGGTACTTGAGTTTTCAAAGATTTCTTTATTTTATAGCAGACATGATTGCAAACACTAAAAAAGAAGCTGTCCTTCAAAATAATGGCTCAGGAAGTTTAGACTCTGATCACTTGCATGTTTTCATGATGCTTGAAAAAATAATTTAGCACCTACAAAGCACAGGATCTTTTAGCATCCTGTTCTGCAAAAGGAAAAGTCCCTAATGGATGTTGCCTTTTTCTATAAATGCATTTACCTTCCTGCTATCAGTGCAATATAAAGATTTTTAAGGTGCTTTCTTCCACATGATCATCTYCATCTTGCCTTTCTCAAGATTGACTCCCAGTATCTTCCCTTTTTCAAACCCCTCTTTACCCTTCTCTGAAAACAGAACTTCAGAAACACCCCTTTGATGTTCTTACATTAAAGTGATCAGTGTACAAACTCTGACAGATATTTTGACAGCTTCTTCTGTGTTGTGATAGGTTTCAGACACTTGCTATTAAAAAAAGAAATCCAAACTCATAAAAATCCTCCTTTTTCACTTTTGCTTTTTTTTTTTTTTTAAATAATAAAACAACTGAGTGTCATACATTTTTGTTACATGTTTTTGACTGTCCCTCAGCTTTGTATGTTAACATGGAGGAAACATTTGGCTTTTATACCTTCAAAACATATAAGCAGATTAATCCTACTTAAGCATAGTTTAAAAATAACACAGAACATTTATCATAGTCRAAATATAATATGTATATTATTAATAATAATTTTCTTATCACACATATATTTGTTTATTTCAAAATAGCAATTTTGAAACAATTTTCAAAAATGCCTACCTGAGTGTATTTTTTTGTGTTTTGTCAGGTGGTCGTGTCGAATAAAAGTTTTCCCACATTCTTCACATTCGTATCTCTTGTCATCGTGGTGCACTCTTAGATGAAGCCTGTATTAAAACAGAGAGAAAAACACTTCTATATCGCTGGTTGAAATTAGCATGACTGTGGTCATAAATTTAACCACGAGATTTTTTTTTAAACATAATCTAGACATATAATCAACTTCAGTGCAAGATACAACAAATCTCATTCTTCAATAGTCCACACAAATGTTGGGAAATAGCTTTCAATTAAGATATTCTTAACTGCTCTTAAATAGCAAGAAAAAACACAGGTAAACTCTCATATCTGAAAGTAATTTAGCAGGACATTTTATTCCTCGGCTTATCTTCTTCTTKAATAACAGTTTTCGATGTACAAGAAAGTAAACTTTGATACAAGATTCACATGGCATTTTTTCTACAGAGAGAACACAAACCTGTCTTGTGTTAAAATTTAAATCATTTTTCACAAAAGACAACCATCTTTTCAAAATTTAAGCATTTGTAAAGCATTTACTAACGCTCCTGGGGTTAGAATAAAACACACATATTAAAAAATATTTTGATAAAGAGCACATATAAATTAAAAAATAAAAGACACTGCAGCATCTCAATATACTAAAAATCTGTACCTGTAAGAGCTGCCATGACGAAAACTCTGCCCGCAAATACTGCAAAGATGAGGCTTCTCTCCGCTATGAATTCTCAAGTGTTCTTTCAAAGTTGTGCTGCGCAACAAAGGCAGCGAAATTTAACTGTAAGCACTCAGTATCACTGCCACTTCAAAGAGAATTTCACATTCTGAATTTTTTAARTCTGATGGATCACAATGTAGACAAATAACTGGTTCAATTTATACAGATATATATGTATACATGCAAGTGTCATTCAGCAAGTTGTTTACTAAACAAGCTAGCTCTAGAAACAAGATAATTAAAGCAGCAAATTGTGCAAGCATAGATTTGAACTACCCACACTGAGGAAAACATCGTTTGGATAGTATTTTCTAACATGATAATCTCCTTGTTACTACTGATATCTATTATTTATTGAAGATTTATAGACACCCTCAGCTAGCTCAAGGTATTTGTCATCTTAATGTTGATGTGACTTAAGTACTTGAAATGACTTTCCCCTTCAGAGTGACTAAAGGGCATTAAGTTTAATGTAGATATTAAGTATATTAAGCCACAGCTTTGAAGTCAAAATACAAAGAATCCAGATCATGGATCCTAATTCAAGTTAATTTAGCAAAGAGCTCATTTGAAATATAAAATCATATATTTATGTGTTCATCTTTTATAATAAYATTTAATACATATAGTTATGTACACATATATACATATGTATGGGTATATATGCTTAGTTCTACTATTACCTTTCAAATATAAAAAAAGCAAGTGAAAAAAGAAGAGATAATAAAATTTACTTTATAGAGTTGGTGTGTGCCCATGTTTGCATACACTAAGTAAAACAGACAGTTCTTTGATTTCATTCCACTATTAAATATTATTTGTCACAGATACTTTTCATGTTTTCCATGAAAAGTTTGCAATTCCTAATGACAGCAGTAACATTTAAATATTTACCTGCATTGTATAATTTAAGCAAAATTTGAAACATGCAGATGTTTTGCCTTATAGTACAGAATGTACTTCACAGAATAGAAGGACTAATCATTTACTACTTCAATATCGCATTAGTACATTTTAACATCTGCATACTCCATTTACCAAACAACTAGAAAATACAAACCAAACATAACCTGTTAGAGGTTAGAGGTTTCTTTTATAACACTTMAGGGRTTTTTTTGCCAGTCATTGGAAAGTTAATATATTTTTAATGAAGAGCAGAATAAAACACATGCACTGAAACCTTGGGAACAACTGTTTAAAATTCACTTCCCCCCCCCCCAACATAACTACAATAGAAAAAGAGTTCATGGGTAAAGAAGGAGAAAGTTATTTCTACAGCTTCTATGCATACCAACTTACTAATAGTTTGAACTGCATTAAAGAGTTTATTCTGTATCCTCTATTAATTATTATTTAGAACTATATACATGGACAAGAGTATAACAGGCCTTTTATCCAGTATTGAGAACTTTCATTTTTAGAAATTAACAAAAAATAACCAWTTTTTTTTCCTTTAGTGAAGAAGAGATAAAGATTTTACAGTATTATTCCATCTTCTGTCAAACTGTGTTTCTAAAAACTCAGTTTCTTCTTAGTCATTCTCAGCAAATGTTCCTCATCTTCCAGTCCTCATCAGTATATTTGCCCAAATGCATATGGTAGAAAACTCCCAAAGAAAGGAAAGATGTTCTTGCATAACATAGTAACCTYACCTGAAAACTTTCTTAATACAGCTCTTTGTTAATTTATCAAACATGCATTTAGATGTTATCAGAACCTGTGCAACCTGTGGTTTTGACCCTACTTTCTGATACCCTAGTCCTTTGAAACGGCCTCACTTACCTTAAAAAGTCAAATCCAAAATATATTCAGACTCTAAGTATGCCCTGTATATCTCCGATTTACTCAGGTTCAAGCAGTTACRGAATTCCTTACCGTTCCCTAACGGATTTGCCGCAGATGAAACACGTCCATTTCCTCTTTCCTCCGTGAGTACATTCAATGTGGCGTTTCAGATTTCCTGTGTCATTAAACTGACGGCCACATATATCACAGGGAAAAGGCCCTATAAGAGGACAGACACACAGAATATTAACTATCACTTAAACCAAGGAACGTGCACAGGTGAGTGACTTGTGAAAAATCTGATCAATTTACACAGCAAGAGTTTTATCTAATAAAGCATTAACCATTACAGTATAGTTAGCATACTTAAACTGACTGCAATTTATCCTAGAGTGATTATTGCAAAAACTTAGTATTTTGACAAGGAACATAATTGAAAAGCAAAAATTTAGCATTAATAGACAAAAATGATTTAGTCTTATCAGACCATTCCAGAAAGAAGATTTCCATTACTATCATTCATCTGTTACTGAGTTTGCAAATGGCAGAAATGTTTTTCTTAGTAGGAGAAGGGTCTTCGGAAGGCTTCAGGAAAAGCTCACTCCACAGTCAATAATCAATCTACACAATACACAGTATTAACACAAACCCTATTACTTGTTCCCCTTCAAGCTTTGCATTTATAGATATATTTGCATTTATATATTATAATACAACACCCCTAAGGAAACTGGAAAAGACATGGAGAGGATAGAAACCAGGCTGATCAGGCCATGTAACAGTGGATGAGGGTTTTATTTTAAATCTATTGTTTACATGTCAGAAGGAGGTTTCTATACCGAGATGGAATTTTTCTTGATGTTTCAATCTTGCAAATCGTGATTTAAAGTGCTCTTCACAGTAGGTACACTTGAAGGGTTTATCCTGAGAATGAAGAATCATATGTTCTTCTAAATGGGGTCTTCGAGTGAAAGATTTCTTACAAATCTAAAACAATAATACGCTTGGGTCAAAAATGCATCAGTTACAACATTTTTTTTTTTCACCCATCTAATAAACTTTGGAAGTTTAGTCCATCTGCAGTCTGCCACAATAGAAAATTAAACAAAACATGTATTTTTCAAAGAGCACACTTCCTCCCAACTTGCCCTACATATAGCCCAATAAACTACTCATAGAAACCAGTATACAGATCTGTGGCCTACCTCAGGCTACTAGCTGCTCCTACAAACAGTCACATGCTCCACTGTCAGCCTTTCTAGTGACTTTAGCATACAGCAGACTCTTTTCCTAGGGTGTTTCAACATGGTAACTCAGCAGAAAATAACCCAACTGAAAAAAAACAGCTTTTGTCTTACTTTTGGATGCTGAAACTAAATTATGGCACCACAATAGAAAGCTGTTACACAGCTTTTTTCCAAGTCCATTTTCCTTCTAAATCCATTCCCAGTGCACATTACTAGAGGCACATAAGGAGCTTTTATTCCACATTTTAAAGAAATTCCACTTGAGAAAAAAACAAATACATGCAAAGAGTTCACCGAACCATTCATCTGGTAAAAATGCTTTCCAAGAAGGAAACATTGACCCTGTAAAATGTTAGTCCTCTCCTTTAAAGTGTTTTACTGTTGGAAGTGTTCACTGTTATAAACACAGGAAATCTGTAAGATGCTCATATAAAATAACTTAATCTGCAAGACAACACCCTCTGGTGCATCACCTCCAGAATGACCACTAATAACTCCTACAGAAAGTTTCCCACTGTCCTACTATATTTTTGCATGAAAATTTATGAACAAAGCTGCATTTATGAATAAGAYAGGATTAATAAGCGTGTCATGTTATAGCACCTAGCTCTACAACTTTCTAGATGTACAGCAGTTAGCATAAATAAAACATCTGTCTGGCCAGGAAAAGTATACTGATTCCTTATAAAGAAAAGAAGAAAAATAGTGTATATGTAACTTCATATGTTCCTCTTCTGGGGATAATGAAGGAAAGGATTGTATGATTTCATATGTAGATACAGATTTAGCAGATATTCACTTCTGTTAACACATATATGCAGCTAAGTGACTAAATGYCTTAGAATTAACATCTGTTTACATCACTATTTAGGATGCCTTCCAAAAAAGTGTATTTTATGGTCAGAGTACAAAGTTCATAATTAATAGGAAAGCAAATGCTCTGATGATAAATTACTCAAAACACTCAAGCCTGCAAATAAATACATTATAATAAAGATAACAGTAGATCACATGAAAAAATACTACATGAAAACTATTTTTGAATGCAGCTTGGTAGTTACTATTCTACCACAAGCCGTATATACAGAATAAAGTTCAGTCTTTATTTCGGTGCATAAAGGATAAATTCATGCTATGGTTTACAAAGCTTACTGAGATTTTGCAAAAACCACACAGCTTGTTTTCACTTAAATAAAGTCACAAAATAAAATAGTAACTTTATGAAAATGAAATGAAAATTAAAGCCATAGAAAAGCTACTAGCTACAAAAAGTCCTAGAAAACTACTACTTACATCACATTTCCAACCTTCACTCTTTGTCTTCTTGATAGAAAGAAATTCTTGTACATTCTCTGGATGAAACCTAAAAGAAACACAGAAGCTGAGAAATTGACCAAAAATGTTTTCATATTAATTGGCAATTAAACAAAGGGAATAAAGTTGATTGGGGAAAGAAAGAAAAAGTGCTACAGTTCAGACATAAATACAGTGCTGAATGGAAATTAAGAAATTGTCATGATTTTAATGCAATAAATGAAGACTAGGTTAAGCATATTCTAACCTGTTTGCAAACACTCGATCAAAAAGTTCCAATTGAAGTATTAAATCCAGACTGTTATTGGATTCCTTTCTTTGTAAATAAGCAAAGTAATTTGTAACCAAGACAAAAATAATATTGAATGTTTATCTCTACAGTCAGTATTTTATAAAAAGTGATCAGCAGAACTGAATATTAAGTATTCAATTCTGAAGAACAAGAAACTGTAGAGCAGTGCCAACTATAAGGCCCCGTAGAATTCCACATAGTAATGGGTAAGAAATGTTTCAACTATTATGCTTTATGGATCTTTAGAAGGGAAAGAGAGAAGAGTAACATGTAACTAATACCTTAGAGTTACACTTGCCATAAACTATTCGTTCACCTAATGGGWGAAGGAATATAAGGAAGGGAAAATAGCTCATCCACATGCTATTACCACCTTCAAAGCACCAATATGCAAAACCAAGTAAGTTCTTTTATTCTTKCACTGAATTAGAAAACAAAGGTACTTGGTAAGACTGTTATGTCCAACAATTAGTTTAATATGACATGTAAAAACTATGATAGAATTGCCATGATAGAACTGCTCTGTAATTGCTGAGTCCATTTCTATGCCCTTTACATGGTAAGTAGGCCAATACTGCTAATACTTGTCTGTTGAAAAAGAAGTTTTTATTTTCAAAACTTTTTGCTTCATTTTTAACCATAAAGTTTGCTTTTGTGTGTGCATGCATGTGCACAGGCATGTATTTATCTTCAGTTTTGAAATGGGAAAATGTTTCTTCAGACATATGAGACAAATGCCATACTTGCCTCTTCACGTGTTTTGCTAAAGTCTTCTTACTGGCATGCAGCTTATTGCAGTAGGGACATTTGTGCTCCTTTTTATGAAAGTCAGTATCACTGGAGTGTTTCTTTCTGTGCACTGTCAAGTTGGACTTGGTTGAATAGCGCTGATGGCATATATCACACTCAAAAGGCTTCTCACCCGTGTGTACACGTGTGTGGCTCTCATACTTGCCTACAAAATATAATAAAAAAAATCTCTATTAGCACAAACTATAACATTTTATCTATAATATGCATGTTTGGAGCTCATTTCACATACTTATGTTGGTCRCATTTGACAGCATCTTCTACATGTATCCGAAGAGTTCTACTGTTTTACTGATTTGCAGATGAGAACTACCCAGTGACTGCACAGGTTCTCCTACAAACTTCAATTTAAGATTCCTAAAAAAATTTCCACTTTACCTATCTTCAAGGTAGGAGTAAACCCAAAATATTTCTGCAGTACTGTTAGGCATACACTAGAGTTTTGATGCCCTTTGTACCTCCAGCATGCTCTGTCCTTAAGTACAGCAGGTTAAACCACTTTTTCATTACACTGATTTATGAAATACCACTTCAGAACAAGGAACATTTGTACAGCAAGGTAATAATTAAAAGCAAGGTTCTTCATATAACAAGACTCAGCGAATGATACAGAACCTTACAAGTATTCTGTATTTAGGACCTATATTATCCTGTATTAGGATCTATATTATCATAAATAGAAGTGCTGCTCTCTCAAATCTTTCACGCTGCTTGTATTCTCTCTTCTGCTCATCACCTTTCCCAAGGACAGAATTCAGTCCTACACTGTGGAACTACTTATGTACAGTCTGTAGTAGGATGTCCTTTTTGAAATATTTTTTTCTGGTATAATATGCATCATATTTTTAGGCATTCAGACTAAAAAGCACCATAGTTGTAACGCATAAAACACAACTCAAAGTTTTACAGCAATATAAGCTAATGATGTTCACTTTTAGTATTATTTAAGGCCACTCTTGCTGTTTTTGTGCACAAAAGCTACAACTAAGTATGAAAGTGCAAAAGGAAAAGGACTTGCACTGTGTATAAGATCAAAACTAGAGTCCAAAATCTTTACAAGCACAGCAGATTTTCAATATCAAAGTCCTCAAATTCAGGAAAATTTCTATCTTTAAGATACGGCATTACAGGTAATTCTCATCKTTTTATGTTGAATAGTTACTATTATATAATCAGTGATCTGGACAATTCATTTCACCTCAGTATTCTCATCTGTAAAATGCTGATAACACCACTTACCAGGCTGTTGTAAAGCTCAACTAAGTAATGCTTGACAAGTGCTTAAAAAATGAAGAGCAGTATAGAAAAGATAAAATAATTCATGAATATAAAGTATTTGTTATAGTCAAGTTTTTTTTTCTGACTACAGGGAAATAAGAACTTTCACGTTCATATTAAGCCACTGTTTGAACAACAAATTGCAAGCTATTCTGTTAGCGGAAATTAACACACATCCCAAACACACTCCATTTTTATAAACCCTAAAGCCTTCCAAATCATGAATGACACAATGAATCTATGAAACAAATAGTCAAAACAAACRCACCTAATACTATGAGGAACTGTTCCTTTTCTAATTTCCCTGAACTAAATGGAGCCATTACCTTCAGCCGTCATAATTCAACACTTAGCATTCCAGCTGAAAGAAAATAAAAATACCAATTCCAGAATGCAGTAGTGCATTTGGCCTTTAATAAAGGAACAGAGAAAGGGCAAGCTTTGGATGAGCCACGACTGGAGCTTTGACTCCTCTGATATTTGAAACAACTACCACACCTAGATTTGATTGTAACAAGCACTAGCCTAATAAACCAGATTAGGCTGCCAAAATTTTACTTTGTGTTAACCACAGTCCATGAAAATAAAGTTAGCAGCCAGAGTGACTAGGTCTTGAGCATCACCTAGAAAAGATGAATTTCAAGCTCTGCCATTAATGCTGCTTTAGTACAGTAATAATAAAGCCTAGTTTCTTGAAATTAATTTAGAGGAAAACATGATATAATTTCAGGCTCCAAGTAGTTCATGTTGTATACCTTGTTAATTTCCCTCCATTTTCAAGGCTGCTTCCATATACCACTCTAATTATCAGAATTTAGAGTAATAAAAATGTAATAAACTTATTATCTCTGGATTTTTATCAAGTGTAAGTAGTCCATTTATTCATGTTGATTAGCATCAAAGATAGAACAGTTTATAGACATGGAACAATTGGCATCATACTGGATTAGAGGGAGAAAAAGAACAGAAAAATCTAATCTTCAYTCCACAGAAAAGGGAAAATAGTCATTTTATTTCCCAGATAAACAGTACAACCATAGAATAAAAAGCCATCAGTCCAACATTCTCTTACCTATTCGATCAAATTTTTTGTCACACTTGGGACACTGCAGTAGCTTTTTGCTACTGGTCTGAATAATTACTGGAGCTAAGCCTTCAGGAATATTTCCCACCGAATCAACCGCCTCGGAACCTTCTTCAGTATCATTCTGCTCTTTCTCACTTTGCTCTTCAGTCTCTGAATCTTCTTCACCTGATGCCTCCTCTTCCTGTCCTTCTTCATAAGCATTGCACTCACTTTCACTGTCTTCAGAGTCGCTTCTATCTGAAGTATCCTTGTCAGAGCTGACTTTTTCCAAATTGCTGTCAGATAAGTCACCACTTTCATTGTCACTGTTATCGAACTTAGCTGGACATTTTCGGTTTCTTGTAGATCGCCTAGTGGAAAAATCAGCCTTCTCAACCATTTTTAACCCATGTTTTCTTTCCAGTGAAAGAGATCTGTGTGCCCGAGTCAAGTGATTTTCCAAGGACTTCTTGTAACAGAAGCTTCGTCCACAAAAACTGCACTGGTGACTATTTAACAGTTTACCTGTCAACTCACTGAGTGTTTCTACTGGCGTCGGGGCATCTGTTACCACTTCAGACTGTATGTYAGAAACATCCTCGTTATTTAGTAGCTTGACAGCATCGATGATATCTAAAAATTTTGCTGCTTCCAGCACTAATGGAATTTCATTTTTATATACAAAAAACTCAGAGGTGTACAGAAACTCAAGCAAATGCTGAAAGACAGAATGAGTTACATGATCCAATGTGACTACATCAGTGCTTGGATTTTTGCTCAAACAGGCATGAAAATAACTACTCCCAACAGCCACTACAACTTTGTGAGCGCTGAATTCTTTGCCTTCTACAATTATGAGCAAATCGCAAAACGACGGATGCTTCTGCCTATCGTCATTTARGTACTTCAGGAGATTTTTGTTGTACTGCAGCGAGCTGAGGAGCTTCCTTTGTTCTGAGGATGGCGAGAGCTCTGGGGATGACTCCAGGTGAGCGGCCGGGGCCGCTTCTGCAGGCGCAGACACAATTCCCTGCTCACAGCCTACCACCAAAATCTGGTTCGCAGGGTCCTTCTCATGGCCAAGATGAACCTTCTCACTTAGACTTGCCGCGAGCCGTCTCCTTTTCTTCATTGCAGACGCACAGCCTTAAAACCTGGCGCTTCATAGGGGCCTGGGGAAGAAACCCGGGTGGCGACTTCCTTCTGCTCCAGGTCTTTCCCGAGGACGCGCAGGGCTAATGTCACAACCTGCAAAAGACGGCCAGTAAACGATGCTGAGCCCTCGAGCACAACTTGGAGCCAATGAASCAACGTTACTTTGCTGTGGCACCCTCAGGCCGTGCACCCTGGGCGCTTGTAGCTCACCAGGGTACCGGCACGACCCTTACAGCGCTGGGAGGCCGCTCCCCGCCCGCCCCGGCCCTTTGTCCGCGCCGCCGGGCCGGGCCGGAGCGCGGAGCCGAGGCCAGGGCAGGGCGCCCCGAACCCGTCCCCCGCCCAGGCCTCCGTCCCCCGCGCCCCGCGGCGCAAAATGGCGGCGCCGGCGGCTCCTCCCTCCCTCCTTTCCGCTCCCGCCGGGGCGGCCCCGCGGCCTCACGCACCGACGCTCCCGCCGCCCGCCAAGCGCCGCCGCCCGCTTCCGGGTTCCGGCGCCGCGCGTCACGCGCAGCCTCGCTGCGGGCCCGCAGCGGCGCCGCGGAGCATGCGCAGCACGGCGCGGCGCGCGAGGGGGCGGGTRCGGCGGTTGTAACCGTTACGCGGCGGCCGTTGTAACCGTTACGCGACGCCCGTGCGAGGCGGGCGCTGCGCGGCGCGTTCAGTGCAGGGCAAAGAAAAGATGGGTTTAATTCAGGGAACGTCTTAGAAGCAGCTCTCCATTACAGATAACTCAAGACGTTCTAGCTATCACTTTCCCCAGTAATGCCATTTTTTGGCCTTTACAGCRCCTTTTATTCGAATATTTCAAAGCGCTTCGCATTCTTTCTTGTGATTTTCCCGTCGTTTTCATGCCTTCCTGAGGGCCAAAAAGCGTGCACGCCACAGAGTCCCACAGCTCGGGAGTATATCCGCTGGGGGGTGCAGTTTATCAGGGTATGGCTAGGGCTATCCATCATATTTTTAGCATTCCAAGGACAACTAATTCCTCCTGACAAAATGTGACACAGAAAATGAAGAAATTTTTCTTTGSTTGTTTTCTGCTTTAATGAAAGCTTCAAAAAAACACTTATTTTAATGCAGGGCTGGCCCATTCCACAGCATCTGCCATCTCTATTTACAACAATGATTTAAAAACTTAAATATTTCAGATATTAAACGGTGCCTTTTTTTTTTTTTTTTGTGCCTTAAGTGATTTTTTCAATAAAACCACTGTAATTTCTCAAAACATGAATATAACTGTGTAGCCTGTGCACCGCCTCCTTACTTAAAAAAAAATCAAAGTTTACAGTTACTTAATAGTTAATTTTTCATTGTAAAAMCAAGTTAATTAAAATCAAMTATTTCAAGATTAAATGTCTGAAGTAACATTTTCAAGTAGTGTCAGTTGTTTCATTTAATTATTTTCACTGCTACTGAAGTGAAAAAAAAATAGCATCATTAAGGAGTAATAGAGCAATCAATACCAATTTGCTTTTGCTTGTACAGAAGGCAAAATCTAATTATCTTTGGGCATCTGCTGTTTTAGATTATTGCTTGTGCTTGCCCAGTGTTCACTTCTGTAAAATCACAGTTTTATATKAACTGCAAAAACAAGTTTTTCTATTATTTTGGTTTTACATCAGAAAGGAAAAAGTTTTGACAGCAACATGATACAAATTTATCATTGAGTCTTACACTTCACTATACTCTGAATAATRCTTCTGTGAAAATAGCATTTAGCCAAATAATAGGCTTCTTAGGTCCTATTGTTTCCACAGCAATAAGCTCACTTTGAAAATATATATGTGCCCTATGAGTTTAATTAGTTAAATGTATAAAGAATAATAAAAAGAAAATAGAAGCTTGATGAGAACCATTTCGTTAGAAAACCAGCAATTTTTTTTTTGTGAGATTTTGTATCTTTGCATATAGTCGGGAGATGGTTTAAGAGAAGACTGAAATGGTAGTGGAAACTACTTATAATAGCATTCCCATTCAAAAACAAAAGAGTGATGTTTTTTCACTGAGATGTACAGATAATTAAAAAACTGTTCCCAAACAAAACCATTCTGGGCATATTTTTTTTTTCCTATCAGTATCACCAAAATTTAGAATTGGCATCCAAACTTTCCTCAGTTAAAGAAAGCAAAAGTTGAACATCTGTATTATTAAATAGATATTGGTCTGAAGTCATGACTTTCTTTCCGTTCCCATTTAAGAAATAAAATCAAGTTTTTCAATTTGTTTTGTTTGCTTTTGCTTTTATTTCCTATAACATCTCTTAGTTCTTTTTGCTGATATTCTTAATACTTTCTGGTTCTCAGCCAACTACAAGTCACTGATAAAACTAGGGTCTCTGTCCTGACTGCCAACATGTACAAATTCAGCAGATATGTTGCTGAACACAAGCCTAGACAGCACTGTTTCCTTTTGGCCAACACTTATTTCTGATTTGTGTTGCATGAAGGATTTAATTCAAAGAAAAGTGCTACAGCACTAAGCAATCCATTAGCATGGTGCCATTGGTACTGCAATTATCTTCCAGAAACAAAATGTCCTTGAACTCTCAGGTCAATACGGTTCTTTCAGTGTTAATTCTTATATAGCAAAAGTGGCAGAGGCAAAATGTAATCTGTATTAATCCTTGTGGCAATATTTACTCATGCTGAACTTTATCACCTCTATTACTAGAATAGCCGTCACATAGGTCAGATAAAAAGGTTGGCTTTTATGAAAGGGAAAGACAAACTGTGCAAGTCTTTGAATGCYTGTAGTGTGATACCAACAAGGTTAATTGTCCTAATCATACTAATCATAACATGATAGGGAGTGCACTGTTTTCTGTGGCTGGCTGTGGCTTCCAGGAGCATTCCTAAACATTTAAAATGTGTAATACATTTTTTTAGCCCTATGTGGTTTGCAGAGGGATAKTACAGATCGTAAAAATCTCTGACTGTCTTTGCAGGTATCACCAAATTACAACAGATATTACATTTATACAACATTCCTGAAAATAAAGCCATTTTCTAATATATTGTCAAACATTTGCCAAAAATCAAAATGAAGAAGCAGTTTTGCAGCTGTATGAGACATTTCAGAATTTACACATGTAGCTCTATAAATGTTGTCCAAGAAAATAAGATTTATTAAATGAGGTATTCAATATACTTAATAAAGAAATATTCTTGAAGTATTGGAAATTAAGAAATGGCAGCTTTGTGCAAATGAGAAGGTGGTTTTATCTGGAAATCCTTGTTCTCCAGCTCAAGATTTTCACTTCAAAGTTATAAAGAAACTAGAAATTACAGTATTTGAATCAAAAACAATTGGAGCAATAAGCAGCAGATAGCATATTCTCTCTGATTGTAAACATGCAGCTGCCAATGAGACAAATTAAAGAAAAAAAAAAAAAAAAAAAAAAAAAGCAAAAGCATGCAAATTTAAGCATCTACTAGAATAACAGAGCAAGCCCCATTTATACCCCAAAATTAAGAGCTGTTCACAGCAAGCATCCAGCTATAGATGTAATGGCATAAAGTCAGAGCCTCTTCTAAACAGCAGCCCTCACGTTGGCTATGACACTTTTCTCAGGTGAGAGAGAGTCTCTAGGARTCCTAGGGTTCCTGTGTCAGGGATTCACTGCGTATGACACTGCTGCAAAGTTACCCACGTTGTTCTTCATAATTTGTACGCTTGCTGTCTTCCATTCAGCAGYGAGGATCTGGGGAGAAGCCCACAAAGCCTGTACTTCCTCTGTTCCGACATTTTTCCTCTATTTTATTGCCAGTCACCACATAGTCACAAATGTTTTAAATTAGGCTGTGAAGTGAAAGGGTTATAAGATTGTCTGGAGACTTCAACAAGTTTTCTAGCCAACAGTGGTGAATTAGAGTCCATTCCTGAAASCAATGCCAAGAAATTCTTTCAACTAGGCTATGAAAAGACCACCTCAGTTTCCCAATCCAGTTCTCTGTGGGGCACTAACCCGTTGGAGCCTTGTCATACTATTATAGGCGTTTGGCAACTGAATCCTGTTGAGCAAGCTTGTTCTCCTCTTTCCCATCCAAAGCACAGTAATTGAAATGTTACAGATGTGACTGAAATGTTTAGCGAAGCGGGTCAGATACCTACCCCACTCCTTCCAAGAAGTGTAACCCAGGGAAGGACRGGGACAGTTCTTTATTTGGGTGCTCTCCACTTTTTCCTGAGGAAAGGAACTTGGTTCCCTTGCATATGCTGGCTGCGGGTAGGGATTGAGTAAGAATCACAGAAACTAGAACTGAGAAAAACTGATGTCAACCTAAACACTAAACCATTGGATTGAAAATCCATGGTAGATCTTGGATACCCTGTATAACCTTTGCACTTTGAAAATATACTAGCCAGGGAATCCTATTTTATGTAATCGCATCTGATGCAAAACCTCAAGCACCGCAAACTAAGGCTGCACCCTTTCCCTGGAGTTGTACGAAGAGGAAACAAGGGTTTACACCAATTTTCTGTTCTTTTGGGATGCACTTTCTACAGGGAGAATTAAACCTTATATCATGCAGACCATTAGCATCAAACAAGTGTTTCCCTATAATCAAGCCAACATCTGAGCAGAAGTATAGGATCCTATATTAGTTCAGATGATGCATAAGGAAAGAAAAAAAAAAAAAACCACTTTGGGCATACAAAAGTTCCTGAGTTCTTGAGAAGGCCTGAAGAAGGGTTCATGTGTGCAAAAATCCTTATTTTTCCAGCTGTATCAGTTGGATTAATAAAAGATATTGCCTTTCCCTATAAAACTTGTTTTGTTTATAACCTTAGACTATGATGACTGCAACAATATTATAAAATTTCTAGTTAAAAAAAAAAAAAACAGGCTTTCCGGTAAAGAAATAATATTGGCTCTCAAAATCCTTGTATTCTGAAAACGTATGGGATAAACAGCTTGAAATGGTTTCTCTTTGTCTCACATTGCTGCCTTTCCACTGCACTGCACAAGAGACCTGTAAATACTGCAGGAGCGCACTGTGTGCTGAGGCCCTATTATAAAAAACAAGAATTTCAATAATGAAGGGTAGCAGAGAGCTGATGTCACTGTCACTTTTTTCAGTCAACCAGAAACCAATTATCTCTGGCTGACAGGCCAAATTAAATCACTGAGTAGGGAGAAATGCCAGCTATCCTCCCCAAGAGTTAGGTAACTGGAGTTTTATTACAGTCAGACCTGGTTCTGTTTGTTCGGCCACAGGATACAAGAGCCTTTCTAGGCTCTGTAGCTGTTTGACAGACATTCACTGTCTTTCCCCTCTCTCCCAAAGAAAAGCAGCTTGCCTTTTGCATAAAAAGAACATGAAGCTAGGAGTTCTGTCATAAGAGGCCTCAGCTGGRGGCTTTGTGTTGATAGCTAGGGACCTAGGCATTGTGTCTAGCACCCTTGCACAGATACAGTTTTCAGCCTTTGTATTACTTGAAWCTTAAGAGCAAATTTGACATAGTATTAGACTGAGGTAGTGAGAATTTGGGGAGCTGACCATTAGGATTCGGCAGAGCTGAATAAATGAGGCACCGTGCGTGCCAAAGTCCATTCTTTTTCAGTTGAGCATTGCCCTCCATGGTCTCAGGATGATGCAAGGGAGAGATATCTGCAAGGGGGAGAGAGCTCATTTTGAGCTAYCAAGCATACATTATGCCTACGTAGGGATGACTTTAATATTCTAAGCAGTCCATCTATGTTAAAGCAAAGTTCCACATGAACCAAGTTGCCCTCCATCTCTTACCCAACATTTCTTGTTTTGAGTATGGAGTAATGCGACCACAYTATTTATGCACAGAGACATAAAGACCTTGTTGAATTGCATACAAAAAAAGATCTTGCATTGCCAGAGAGGCAACACACACTTCTTTCCACAAAACAGATCTTCTATATAGTTCTGCATACCATAGATCCTGAAATGCCTTTGCTGAGTCAGAAAAGGTCTTTGCTATACAGCATAACATAACATCTTTGCTATACAGCATAATATAGCATCTTTGTTAGGATATCACAGCCAATTTATGGCTGCTTGAACTGGATACAACAGCAGTCACTGGCTTGTGGCACACTTACATTGCCCAACAGAGAATTTGGCTAACAGGTTAAGATGCAGATATGTTTACAGAAACATGTACAATGTGTCTTCTTCAAGAGAAACAAGCACAGATTCACCAGTTGGTTTTGTGAACAAAATATAATTCAAATAAGTTTCAGAATGCATAAGAAATTAGAAGGGCAGAAGTGGCATTTATTCAGGAGACTTGCACACGAAGCTGACAAATTAGCAACACTTTTTAAACCTTTTATCTGGTAATATTCCATATGTACCTCTAACAAGACGTAAAATGCAGGCAGCTAGGCCTACCAGCACAGTGCAGCTTTTTAGAGCTCTTACTTCTCCTTTCCATTGTGATGAACCTTCACATGGTTACAGTTGTTAGGCAATCAAAATTCATCTCTCTGCTCAAAAGGCATCTCTCTGTATTTCAAAGCAGAGAGCAAGATGGAAATGCTATTCTGTGCTGTCCTTAATCACTATCTGTCTAATTCATAGGTGTTATTTAATTTAAATTATAAAGTTAATAGGAACATTTATTTATTTATTTATTTATTTATTACAATACCTTTTTTTTCCTTCTCTCTCTCTGAAAGATACCTGCTAGTAAAAGCAGTAGGATGTTACAGGGTTATATGAACATTTTTCCCCGTCATCGTTCATTTGTCTGAGAGCAAGTTATATACTCTATTATGCATTGCCAGTTTACTTACAATCAGCAGGAAAGGCAGCAGTTGTGAAGTCTTGCAATTCTCTGTTCTGTACAAGAAAAAAACACTGTGTAATGAAAGCAGGAGCATTATATCTGTTTCTGAAGCATCACTACAGCATAAGTGAAATTTTCAAGTCCATCTTTTATCTTAGGTGACACTCATTACCTGATTTCTTAATTATATGTGAATGGTAATTACAAATTTTTCACAGGAAAATATAATTAGATTCTGATATCAAGAGACAGATTACAAGGAAATTAATTACGCTTTCATGGCGCTATTGAAGACATGAAGCAAGATAAAGTTGCTTGCAATGAAAAAAAGTGGTAGTTAGAGTCTGGATTGTGCAAGTGCACAGCATGGAAGAAAGGTGCTTAACTACAAATAACCAGAAATTTAGAGTTAATTCTGCTTGGTTAGTGATGTGGTATGCACCAAAGGCCAGCAAAGGAGCTTGTATAAGAAATGTTTGCAGTGGAGTCATTTAAAAAAAAATCATACAAACCAAAAAAAACCAATAGTAATAATTAAATGTCAACTCAGCTATTAAAGTGCAAGTGTAAATGGAAAAGCAAGATGATGTTTCTTTAGTCATTTCAGCGTAACACTGAAATAATCCTGGAATAATYCTGTGGCCTTTTTGAATTAAAACCAAATGAACAAAAGCAATAAGCTGCCTGCAGTCTTGCTGCTGCAAGACCCATTTCAGTGATTTCTTAGGGTATGGTCAGCTGTATCAGGTTTCCTTCCTGTGTTTGTTTATTTTCCCAAGATTAATATTATGCCCTTTTGAAAAGGTGTATGCTTTTCCAGTAAATATAGCGAAAGGGGTGAATTCGTTCTTAGATTAATTTTATTAGGGAAAATCCATAGAGCACACATAATAGTCCTAAACAAAAAGCCGATAACATTCCTTCTGAAGTATTTATTCTATTTATTTTCACTTCTGTCCCTTTCCACATTAGGATATTGTGAAACATTTCCATTCATTAACACTAGTGTAAGCTTCACAAATCTCAAAGAGAACAATTCTAGATGCTCTGAGGATATTGAGTCTGTTGGCTGTGTAAGGCTCACAGATACTTGAATGCTTGTCTTTATTAAAAATCCCCTATTGTTTGTCCTAGTAAAAACATTTTTAAATTCTGCTTCCGCTAGTACATTTTATTTGAATCAAGATAAGAAGGAGAAACTTCAAAATAAATCTCAAAGTGAGAAAGATTTTCTCTCCTTTGAAAAATACTTTCCTTTTGCCAAACCAAACCAAAGACTGAAATCTTTAAGATTTGTTTACTACCTTGAAAATATATGATGTAAAATGTGGCTTGGATTAGTTGAAAGGCTTGACTGGATGAATCTTAATTTAGGCTTCAGCCTTTTAAAAACACTTTTTCTTTTGGAAAAGATAATTTAATCTCAGAAGATTATATTTTTTAATTTAAAATTGTCAAAACATTTTTTACAACAATTTTGCAATAAAACAGTTTAAAAATAAAGAAATAACCCTCTTCCTTCTAAAAGCCTGACCTTATAGAACCTGGCCAGTTCCACTTCAAAGACTAAATTGTCAGAAGGGACCACCATCTCACCCCATTCCTGCCCAGTTCTCAAGAAACAGCCCTTGCAGGCACTGTTGCTTTGCAGTCTGAAACAATTCTGCTTACTTTATGGTCATGATAGATTGGAGGAGATGATAATTTTTTCTCTTATTATTGCCAGAGACTTCTTATATTTGCATCAAGTTTAGCCGGATATAAAGACTTCTTTTCCTGGCTTGAGTTACAAATGCAACACCTAGTTTCAGAATCAGTGGGGTTTCTTAAGTTTAGGAAGCCCCTAAACTGAATATATGCTGTATTTTATAAAATTATGTTAAATAACCGCAAAGAATGCAGTCTCAAATTAGTTGTTTCTAGAGACAGTGATATAATAAATATCTTTTATGGTAAGGGCTGCATGCATAGCCTTCAGAAAATTAATTTCATTTCTTGACCAATTAGTAGAATGTGGTTATCATATCAATATAAAATTTGATAATGACTTTGGCTTATTGATTTCTGATCTTATTTAAAGAGAGTGTCATATAAGGCCATGTTATGTTACTCATTTTCACTAAATTAATATGGAAATCTGAATTTACTGCTGCAGGAATGAAGGTGGTCAAGCTGACTTGTGCTTGATCCAAAGCTCGCAGCACATCCAAACTTTAAGGTGCATGTAATACATTGAATTCAGCAAGAAACTGCTTGGTGATTTAAAGGGGCCCCAGGACACTACTAGAATATAAATCCATTACAACATCGGTTGTTTCTCCCTCCTCACAGTAAGCTGTGTCATTTCCATCAAGGGGAAATTTTCCTTTCCCTCGTGTGGGGACTCACTGATACCATGTCATGCATGTCATCCGCACTGAAGCCAGTATCACCCCCAGCAGATAAAATAGGTGTGAAATATTCTGAATCAACACAAGTTTGGAAGCCAGGATATTTCATTTTACCTTGTGAACAATGTAATTCAAACTGACAGTCTTTCAAGATCTCGTTTGGTACAAAACTGTGGCATATACGAAATGCATTGGCATTAAGATGAATGCTGTCTTAACTAATGCTTAGCAGAACTTGATATCCCTTTGGGGCACCCAGCACTACCTATTGTTTCACATCCCATAATAYTACCCAGTACTTTAACACAGAGGCCAAGATTTCCAACAGGAATTCCATAGTTGCCAGGACCCATGCTGAGACACTTCAGAGATGCCTGCAGGGAATTTTGGCTTGGCGCTTTCTGAAAGTCGTGTCCTTCAACCGGAAACCTGCAAATTAAAGAGCCCCAAATCATCAGATGCTTTTAAAAATCTTGTCACAAATAGTCAATATGATAAGAAGATAGAAAAACAAAAATAGAGAAAAGGAATCTTAGAGAAAAGGAAAAATTAAGGAAGCTTCTCTATTTTCCTGTTTCAAATACAACTTTGATGGGTACTGAGCTTGCACATTACAGTTCTTTAGAAGGATTTAAACCTTGAAAACAAAACAGGCTTGCTTCATCTGTAAGAGTGGTGAGGCAGAACTAGGGAAAAAACTGATTTTCTGCCCCCCCGCCCCAGCCTTGTTCTCCACCTGTAAAACCAAATAATTCATCATTATTCTCTACACAGAACATTTCCTAAAACCAAGATTCCTACAGCATCGGCTGTGAACCTCTGCATAGGATATTGTCATACTAGCCTCTTCATGGGATAATCACAATATTTACCTAAAGTTCACAAGTACAGTTTGTGTTAAACACAAGTGATTTTGGTTACTGATGAAAATCCTGGCTTACCGATTCTCTTCCCTTTTCTCCTATTCAGTTGTCTGCTGAGGCTTCTGTGCTCAAATTACTCTTGAAAACCTTTAGCACTGATCAGGTGCTATGCTATGCAACATAATAGCTTAAATCTCTTCCAAAATCCTTCAAACATATTACTTACCTATTCAGTTATCTCTCTTAAGATGGAGGGATTTTTTGATGTAAAACCAATACTTACAGTTCTAAGAATTTTTGTTTTGTTGTATGAATTATCTTAGCCTGAAGGAAGGGAAGCAGAGATTTAGAAGAGGATTTGTAAGTCTGTTAACACATCACTATTCTGCTGAAGTGGAAAACATAGAAGTAAAAAGTAAATTTACAAGACATTTTACAAAAGCATTGGAATATTAAGTGCTAAGACACTATTTGCCTCATTTTATGAAGCACTTCTGTAACCTTGACACTCACAGGAAGATGACTGGTACAGACAGAAACTTCACGATYAGACAGTTCATTAATAGCACGGTTCAGAATACTAATAGCAAATTTTCCTCTGCATTGACGAGGCCTGACCTAGCATTCATTTCTGGCAGTGGAATTGCTTCCCTGGTGATATGCACCACACACTATACAGCAAGAACTTGCCCTTTGTGCAAAAAATGATCAAAGGAGAGAATAAGTGAAACACATGTGATRGAGTTCTGCAGGTTCCAGCGGAATCGTACACAAACCTTACAAATTTTGTTTGTTTTGCTCAAGTGAAAAGCACTCAGGAGAGACTCCATATGGTAAAAAACAAACAGCTTAAACTCTTTTCTGGAAATGCAGCAGTTTGTACTTGCTCCTGGGCTGTTACTAGATCAGGTGCCTGCTGTTCAGTGTGCTTTCTTGTGGTCAGTGTATTTACATGGCCATGCAAGTACATGATTAAACATGGAAATAGGCTTTTTGCTGTTTTGGGACATAAACACCTTCCTGTTGCACTACAGCTTTTCCTCCACAGGGCTGTCCAGCCAGCCCTTGCTCAGCATTGTTTTGCTCATTCATAACCGCCCAAAGTAGTACATGGTGGAAATAATGTTAGCTATGAACTGTTTAGTAAATAGTCTACAGATATCATGACCAGGAAGTGTGTTTTTATTTAGGTCTATCATTCTGAGAAACAATCATGTAGCGTTTTCAGTAAATACTAAAGAAATGTATTTTAATGCCCAAAACATGATGATAATATCTGCACTTGATAAGTTCATACAAACATTATCCACCTTTCATAGAAGTAAATATCACTCCACTGCTACTCTCCATACCTGCAATTGTAATTATAATCACCTATAATTGTGTTTGACCTAGAAGAAACAAGATAATGTCAACAAAAATTACACTTTAAATTGGAGTATCAGCAAGCAATCAGGAAACGGCATCCTCAGCAGTGAGTGGCAGAAGATGCACAATTAATTAGTACTGCTGTCATATGAAAGCTGAAAGCAGAGCTCACATCAGGAAACATAAGGCATTAGATATTGACATTTTTTGGCTAGAGAGAAGCAGTAAAATATTTTAGAAGAGATGACTGACTAGTATAGTGTGACACCATACAGCACTGTAATTATTGCAAGGGAGCAATAGCAATAAAAAGGGACAATGCCTTGATAAAAGAAAATGGCAAGAAACACAAGCTTCTGCCCTGGGTAAATGGCATAGCCTCTGACTTAGCTGACTGCAGAAGCTCATCAAAGCTAAGCTGCCCTGAGACAGCATCCAAATTGCATTAAGGTCCTATGTTCTACTGTGTAAAAATGGTATCTATGAGGTATCAGGGCTACTTCAATCTCTCCCCTGTCATAAATTCAAGGGTTTGGAGCAGCCTGTGGTGAGATAACTTAATTTCATCTCTATTAAATCCTAGAATAGCTTGCAAGGAGGAGAACGCATTTGAAGTTGTGAAATGTGGAGCTGAATTTCAAAGGTATCAAAAAAACCCAGCCCTTCTGGAGAATAAAAATCCTCTTGTGATAGCTGGAAAGTAATTCACTTTTTTCTTTTTTTTTAATAAATGAAATTTCAAAAAAAAGAGAGTTGTTCATAAATTTGCCATACAAACTATAACCACCACATGGTTACTTGGTAACAATATAATCTTGGGTTGGTAGCATTTTTTCCTTGTCTGAGCMATGATTTGCTTACAGACTCCATTTCAGTGCTTAGGATACCTTTTTCAGAACTGCAAAATTTGCTTTTCCAYAGCACGCCTTTCAGCTTTATATTTATAACACTTTGGTGGGCCTTTCTGGTCTGCTTGTGCTTTCACTTTAATATATTGAAACTGAAAATCTTCAGATAAGGCATCTTTCAACTAAGAATTGATTGAAATATGCCATATTCATCAGTTTTAAATTTTACTTCTACACTGAAACCCAATGATTCTCTAGTAAAGGTGAAGACAAATTAACCAGCAGTTATAATCAGCATAGAGAAATATATCAAAGTCCTATTAATGGAGACATATTCCACAAATCAATTTGGGTATTTTTCAGAAACATAATGGAAAATATATAAGTTACTTAGATACTAAACATTAGCAAACAAATAATAATGCACTTAAAGTAGGTAATCAGGTCTGAACTCAAGTGCATAATTTAGTCCAGCAAAAAACTTCTCAGAAGGCATAATAATATTTTCCTGTTCACACTGTACTGCTCTTATATGTTACTAAGTAATTTCAAGAGTAACTAAATAGACAGATGGCAATAAGAGGAAAACATCCAAACACATACTACCCTACACATAAGTCTAAGGGATGACTTAAGAGAGAAAGAGCTGAAGAACATAAATAGCTGTTTAACTGTTTATTTATAATTATAGATACTGCCACAGAGCTGCTGTGGGTCACAAGGTTATCAGTGGGTAAGCAGCATTTGCACATGAGCAAAGTGGGGAAAAAAAGGAGGTCCTAGAATATGGGAAAGATGTATAATCAGAGTTGAAAGATTACTTACCCATAATAAGTAACTTTTAAAAATGTCTTTCACAAACCATTTATCATCAAGTTCTTTGCTCAGTGCTTAAACATGTGCTTGACTACAAGACTGTATTTAATTAAATGTATGGGTAAAGTTGAACACATTATCAAAGACTGGCTGAATCAGGGATTGAGATTCTAGGGATTGGGGGTAAAAAAAGAACATCTCCTGTCCCCGTATCCTTACCAGCCCTACTGTTTCTCTCCTGAACCATAAATGTCACTTTCCTGTGAACAGGCAGCTTGAAATTCTAACATGATGCAGTGAAGCTCAGAGCACCTGCACTAACTCCCACTTGTTAAACCCTTTTTGATGAAGACAAAAGTAAATAAATCCAATATTAATAAAAAGATTTCCAAAACCAATCTGTTAATACCTAACTGTAAAGAAATCTGCAAAGAAAAGGAAGATGTTTCCTCTTTTTACTTCATGCTCTAATGGGATGTGATACAGAAGGAATGCATAAAGTGTTTATTAATCAGCTTTATGCCAAAAAATAAARTGTTTTTGCTAGGAATCCGAAGGATCAGTCAAGCTTCAAGTAGAAGCTAACCTGTGATATGTTTCGGAAGCTTAGGCGAGAAGCTCCCCGCGGTGTTTGCTGCGCTGCGTCAGCCCAACGCAGCGCACGAGGCACGCCACCGCTCTGCAACGGGAGCTGGGCAGAGACTCCARTCCAGCGAGCAGAGAAATCTGCACCAGGTTTAAAAAATCACTCCGATCCGCCCAAGTGAAATCCCAACAAGCGCAACTGCCCTTGGAGTCAAAGTGTGTGGATTTGTGGGGAACAGGGTCACCCGCCGGGATGGCAGACAGGGCGCTCCGTGCCTCTGRTGTCAGCTTAGCTGCGGAGACCAGGAGGAAGCAGTGAGGATCAGCACCAGCTCCTTGGAGCACAGACAACTCGGAAGAGGATGTCCTATCAAGATGAATATGGCTCATTCAAGAATTAACTTTCTGCTCATCTTCTACCTCAGTGTTTTGCTGCTCATCCATCTGAAAAGTAAGATTTTTCGCTTTTATTGTCGTTCCTAACACGTCCTCTGGAGAGATGCTAGGCATGGACTTCTAGCAGGAAACTTGTTTTATCAGGAGATTATAAAATATTGATGAAGATGCCAAAAAGTCTATAATACTGTAAGTTGTTTATGCTTACTGCATATTCGCTTTCCTGATCTTTGCGCTCAAACTTTTTTTTTTTGGGGGGGGGGAGAGACTGAAAACAGTTTTTAGTATTTTTGTTCACATAATGAAAATACTATGTTATGAAACACATAGGAAGTAAGAGGTACCTATTTAAAGGAGTTTAAAAACTCTCTTTTGGTGAGATTCATTGAATGTTTTTAAACCTATCTGCTTAAACTGCAGATTAGCTTATCTTTTGCTTAGGCAGTCATGCTTTCTATGTTGTTCATCTTATGCATTCTGGTAGCACTCATTGTTTTATTATGTAATCATTACTGTATTATGCTTTAATTAAAACATCTAGAGAAATCAGTTATTAAACAAATGTGCTATATTTGGTGTTCTAAACTCCTCGATATGAGAGGATACAAAAGTCCAACTATTTTTGTTGAGAAAATATTTTCAGCCAACTTCCACGTAAACAGAAGTAGGCTAAAATACTGGGTTTGCTTGCTAATTTTGGCAGATGGTTGAGCATAAATACAAGTGAAGGAGGCTAAATGGCCTCAGCTGGCGAAGCTGATAAACACGTTCATGAAAAGCAGTAGCTCTTGAACATGTTTAAAATGAAGACAGGAGGCTGGGTGCCTATTTGAGAATGCCATTCGATTTGCGTCTGTTGAATGTGAATTGCAATAAGACAAAGCTCGGAGCAGCTGCCATTAAACATGAAGACTTGGCATTAACGTACAGCGTGGTGTAATCTGGGTCACCTTCTGTTGCTGCATCACTCGAATTGTTACTTGGACAGTTTACAGACCAACATAAATTACATACCGAAAAGCAAACAGATGCAGAGAGATCAAGCAGCACTGTAAAAAAGGAAAACCCAAAACAACGACAAAAAAAACTTTAAAGCATAGAAGAAAAACATAAAATGTCATAGAAACTCTTACTCTTTTATGCTAGTAGTTTTCTTGCTTGAGAAGCTGCTGACATCAGTCAGYAGTGCCAGAATGTTCTTTTCTAAATTATCTCGCAACAGGACATCTCCTGGACAAAAGGGGCTAGATCTTCTACTTCTTCCCCCCGCCAAATCTGTGCACTGTGTGATCAACAGCAGACTAAAGCCTTGTATGGAAAACTCTGAGACAGAATCTAAATATAACAAAAAATCTAAATCTAAGTAACTAAAATGGTGACAATTAGGAAATTTCATTTATACATGAGGCAGGCAAATTAAAGCAACATAAAAACACTGAGGGAAGAGGAATAACAATTTAGACACTTACAAATTTAAGAACGTCATGTTAAAAACATTAAACATAAAACATCGCTAGAGTGTAAACTGCAAGAAAACAACCACGCATACAAGATTCAGCAAAAGAAGGTAATCACAAGTTTTTGTTTTGGCCTTGGCTGAGCACAACTTAATTCAGGGAGGCAAGGGAGATAAAAGCTGTTATAYGTCATCTCGTACCTTTTCCTTTGCACAGATGTTGCCTGGGATGACATTTCAGATGCAGCAGGAGTTTTTTCTGTGGCGTCCAAGCATGTGTCAGACTCAAGCATTAGGGCTTTCTAATGTTCTCAGACTGTTACAGAGTGATGTGTGCTGTTACAGACTGATGTGCTCGAATGGAGCAATCTGTGGAAGACAGAATCAGGCTCAGGAACCTGTGTACAGTAAGTGCAGCATATTTAAGAATCTTGTTGAGTGCTTTCACTCATGAAAGTTTGTGTGCCAGAGCTTTAAAATTGCCAAGAATTAGCAAGAAGATAACTGTGAACAGATAAAACAGAAATATAAACAGAACAATAGACTGTATTTATTTCCTTACTTAAAAATTAAAGCTGAGTGACCAAGATATAAAAGTTGAGGATGTATAGTATACTACTAGTATGTATAAAAGTTTGTTTCTTACTCATATTTCTTAATCAATTCACTGAATTTATCTTCCCTCAACGGATTCTAATCTTAAATCAGATTAAGATTAAATACGTACACATCAAGTTTTTCTTATAATTGGTATATTCTACACAGTTTGGGAAATAAATATCTTTTCCTATAACATTCCTACTTGTAATAGGTTTTCCAGCTCGTGAATACTCGGAGGTGGTTATTGGTGTAAGTAGACTGAGACACATCCCATAGGACTGGTAGAACAACAACCATTTTATAACAGCTACTAATTTTATAGCAGATGCAATGAAATTAAAATATTTTGCAGGTGAGAAAAGGGGAACTACTTCAATCTAACCTACCAAGACAAGGACTTTGAGACAGTTGCAGTGAATGGTTTTAAGCTAGAGCCTGTCTGCAGCCACATTACCTCTCATTATTATTGATTTCACAATAAGGAAATTTCATTCAGAATTACTATTAGGAGTAAATTCTGTTCTGTACTATTCTGTTGGGTTTGCTGTTGTGAACAAGCCATATTTGCACTCCGTTTCCACCTCTCTGAGATACTGGCGCTATGCAAATTTTCCCCATGGACAAGCACTTTTAATCTCTTGCAACTGTCCCCATTCCTCACTACACTTCTAATTAATGCATAATTACTGTGCTAGGAATAAAGCTCTACTTATGAAGAGATTTGTGGCTTTGTCCATGCCACTTGTCCCTCCTGCACGCTCAGCTGATGCAAGTAGCTTCCCAGCACGGCATTGTTAGAAGGAACATTTGATGTGTTCGTAACAGATACGAAGCTTCAGTAGAGCCTCATTAGTCAGCTGTGCGTTGCCAAAGCCAGGCCTGCCAGAGCTGCAGTCAGCAACATCTAAGCACTGCTCCCATGAGGAATGCTGCAACCTTCCCTCTGTGCTACCTGACATAGACTGCACCCATTTCATATCATAAATGAAATATCCTAGCTTTCAGATGCTTGCCCTAAGTGAGCTCAGAGCAACAGCTTCTGGAGTCATGCATAAGGTCTTCTGTCCCCCCCACTTTTAATTGATATGCCTCATTATGGATAATGCCTCTGTAACTGTAAGCAAGAGAAATCCTAAGATGATGATATCTGGCCTTACATTTTCCAGACAAAGAAGTCACTTCTGATGAACTAGATACCTGGGAAGTCCCATCCCTTTGCAGTCCCATACCCCTTTTCCTCTATTCAGGAGGAAACTCAGATAAAAAAGTAGGGCTATTAAAAAAATGCTCAAATATTGACATTCAAATTAGATAGTCACATCTTGAAAAAAAATATGTGAAAAGGCAGTATGGTAGCAGGAACATGACATGCAAGATGCGGGAGACTAATCAGTCCACTATTCAGGTATCCACTTTTGAGAATTACTATGAGAAAGAGACAATTAGAGAAAAGCTGGAGAGAGAGGAAAAATAGAAAGACATTTAGAAAGATGTGACCTATGATGAAGGGGCCAAGGAAAGAGAGGCCAGAGGGAGGGCATGATTACAGTCTTAACTATGTAAAATAAAATGGCAATCAAGGAAGACAACATGGTCCAATGTCCTCCATGACCTTCAGAAGGGTAGATATTACAAAGTAAAATGTTTTAAAGGGAGTACGGAAGGGTTAAATGAAACGTTAATGGGACTTTCCTAATTGTAAGGATACTTTTCTTTCAGTTCTTGCATTATCAACAGAATTGTTGTCTACATTTAAGTTAGAAAATAGTTCACCCTGATTCTTTGACATATCAAGTACCTACTCTTGATTTTCAGTTTCTTGGGTTTAAAATAAGCAGCCCTGCACTACAAGCATTGGTTACACTGGGGACTGATAGACAGTTTGCCTATCAATCTATCAGACAGTTTGGTTTCCAGATTTTTAGGTCAAATCACTTGGAATAAGAGCCAGCTAAGTACCTTTGATCCCACTGTTGATAGGAGTTTGGAGCCAGATGCCTCTCAAAGATGCTTTTATATATATATATATGTATGTATATGTATATGTATATATATATGTATGTATATGTATATGTATATATATGTGTGTATACACACACACATATATATTTATATGTATACATTATATATACATATATTTATATGTATACATTATATTTTATATATAATATATATTATTATATATATTTTATATATAAACTATATATAAGTATATATACTTATTTATGATTCACTTTTTAATACTAAAAAAAGAATTTCTCAATCTCTAGGCAGCCTTCATTATTTCCTTTGCTTTTTGTACTTGGTTCTAAAAAGAAAAGAAAAAAAAAGATATTTACACTATTTTCTTAGGGGAGACTTTAAACCTAATTGACTCATCTACAGTCACAGTCAGCAGGTAGCAAGCAGATAAACCTACATGTATTATTTTCTAAATTGATATTAATTTATTGGTTTTATGGACCAGCATGTTTCATCACTCAGATCTCCCTGTACTTTTCCATTTTCTCAATTATTCACAGTACAATAATCAGGAAACACCTCTCAGTCCATCAAACTGAGGAGGAAAAGTAGGGGGAGACATTTTTACAATCAGACTTTTATATTTACTTTATATTGATGATATTTTACTCACCCATAATATGGGTCAACAAAAAGTTGCTTGGTCTTTTTGACAAATACTGCAGTGGACAACCCTTCTCTGCAGGCAGCTCAAGTGCTGTGACACGAACCAAGCAGCTGGGACCGGAGCTGGAAGGGGCAGCTCCAGGCCCCAGTGAAACGTGTTCCTCTCCAGGCATCAACAGAGCGATTCTGCGGTTGCTGCTGCAGCTTCAGGGTTAGGGCAGCTTCTGCCTGCCTGAAGTCTTGTCAGTGGGGACAGGGATCAGAATATTTCTGCAGGCAAGGATTTCTGTGGGTGGAAAAGGGGCATGAGCTGCTAACCGGCTGTGTGCAGCAGATAAAATCCTTGTACCTCAGTCACGCTCTTTCCTTGACAATTCCTGTTCTCTGTCTTTGGGGTTTCTAACAGGGCACAGAGCACCTCACTAGTCTGTCCCACAAGGTTCAGGCCTTAATTCTGAATTTGACTATAATACCTCACTTTAAACACAAGTCACAAACTTTGGAAACAACATAATTGTTGTTTTCTAAGCAAAGATTTAGAAAGACCGACAGTCATGACTGTAAGCAACTAAAATTTAAGTGGCCTGTATTAACAGATAATCATGGCAGAATTTCCCAAACACTCAAATTCTAGCCTTGAGAAGCCATCTACACAGAGCAGCAGCTTCCAATGTGTTTTRCTAAGCAAGTAAAGTTAGAGCTTTGCGACATTTTGTTTGTGTTTAAAAAGAAGTTTTAGTACAGCCTAAGCATGCAGGAATCTGAATACAGCCTAGTGCCCACACCCCTGAAAGACTTGACCAGAGTTTGTTTTCAGGAAAAAAAAAAAAAAAAAAAAAAAAGTCTGCAATATAACTCACCAACCTCTTAAAAGCAGGAAAAGGAGCCTCTGAGAGCACGTCAGAACTGATACGTGTCACACTGCTGCTGCCTGGATATCAGCCCCCTTAGGTGCAGGAATGGTGGAGCTGGGTTTGCACCACGCCGAGTCCCAGCTCATGTGGAGAGGGAGAATTATTGGTTCAGGCACTGTGCCGCGCTCGTGCTGCTGAACAGCACCTGGATCAAACTGTGGGAAAGGAGTTCTGTCTGCACCCATCTGTGTTTGTCCTGTTATTTATACAGGCATCTCTGCAGGGAGATGCATTTTTGTGAATATGTGGACCACACAGTGCTCAACATCCCACAGCAACCAGTTGGTGATTCACTTTTTTAAGGAAGAAGAGTTAACTGAAGTTCAGATTACATGCACGCTTCCATAAATATTGATTATGGGCCACATGAGATGCAATTCAATTAAAAGGCTAAAGATGGGGAGTCTACAGACCATGCAGCATGTAGTTCAGTTTTGACTCTACTGATTTGAGAGCTACAAAAATGCCCCCAACACTGCCAGGCCCGAGACAGCTGATGGCAATCCTAACGGCATCTAGTTCTCCAGCACCCTCCTCATTTTCCATTGCTAGCCTTATGGAGGGGTTAGGTGTAGCACAGGCACAAGGCTCGTAGGCCGAGCATGTGCAGAAGTAGCAATGACAGAAGCAGATAAGGGAGAGACACTGGTACATCAGAGATGAAGTCAGAACTGCAGAATGGGAGGAAGATGGACAGGACTGTCAAGGGTTCTTTCTGTCCCCGAAATGCAGAAGTTAAAGAACGTAGAAAGATTTACTTTAATTTCTATCTTAAATGTAGGAGAAGGTAAAAAACAAGTTTGCAGGAAAGATAATATAAACTTCTTTTCTCCATTTGCTTATTTGGAGGGCTACATTAGGGCATATCCTATGACAGCRTAATACAGTGTATACAGTGTATATCCTACAGTATAACGGCAAAGGGCAAAGAGAAAACATCATATAAGACCCAACAAATCAGACTTTCTAGATAAACCTACTTTCTCTGCTAATCCATCTGTTGAAGTAATTTTCTTTTTTCCACATTAAACAGTGCTGACATTTGCAGTGCTTTGTTCACTTCTAATCGTGCTGAACGTTTGCAAGCCTCAGTCTATGTAAAAACACCCTCTGCTTGATGTAACAAGAACTATCTGTTCTCTTCCCTCTTGAGTATCTTACATGTCTGATTCAATTTACTCTAACATCTAGCAAGTTTGGAGCTCATGGGAAAGTGCAAGAAGAGCAAGTTGACTAAATCAATAATTTTGCATTCAAATGACTGTTCTCACAGTGCACTGAATTTCCTGAAGAGCAAGTAGACATCACATAACTTCTGCTGTTGTCCAAGGCAGTGAAAAATAATAAAACTTAGAAATATTTAGGTGCATAATTTTAATAGGATTAAGTGGGAGCAGAAAGGATTGTCACTGAATATCCGTGAGGAATCTGGATAAAAATCTTCCTTCTGCTAAACAGACTAGATGATCTGACAATGATCCAGTGCTGGAAAGAAGGGAGGTTGGAAGGAAAATAATGAAGTTCTGACTTGCACGCTGCAGAAAAAAATTAGATCAGTTCTATCATTTCTACTATAGTGCGAAAACTGTGGGAAATCCTTCAAACTGAAATGTATTTCACTTTGAGGTAGAGCCCATCAGCTCGTAGATTCGTGTAGGCATTTCCTGCTCCTGCAGATCTCAGCAAGAATTCTCTCTGCCTCACAGCTTAGGAAGACAGACCTGCTGTATCCCCCAACCTGACAGGAGTTTTGCTGCAGGTAGAGTTACATATGTCATAGTGCCTCTGAGAGACATGCATAGCAGTCAACAGACTTGATTCCAGGTTAACTTTCTAAGTCCACTGGCTTCAGCAAATTTGCTGCTGCACTGTGTCAGAACCACCATGGTTGCTTTACTTAACCTGGAGGCTTGTGCTTGCAATCAAGAATGGTTTCATTTCAAGTGCACGGAGAGTTACGTCCTTTGAGATACTTTCTCTGCACGAAGATGCAGTGAAAGTAGAACTGCATTCTTTAATGTTCATTAAAGAATTTGAGGGCTTGGCAATGATAATTTTCAGTTATTAAATCTCACCTCAATTTAAATAGAGATGTGCTGCGTTGTCTATTCCACAGACAGATGAACCATTTACTTACTTTTATTAATACGCCTACAAACAGACAGACAGCTGGGAGACTGGTTTTCATGTTTTGTGATGGTTAGCATTTCATGTTTTTGTGAAAAAGCAGTCACAGAACAGGAAATCTCCCGTSAGTACAAAAAACAACAAGAAAAACTTTAATTTTTAGGTACTTGACCGTGATGCAAGGTCCAGCAATTCAGCCTTTCATAGTGCAGTCATGCCTTGTTCCAGCCATTACATGCCTCATTTCTGTTAATCTTTTCTAATTAGTTCTACTTCCCAAGTGAAGTCTTGGAATCCACTATTTTTCTGTGTTAATAGTTAGGGCTTTGCTTTCTATATTGAGGATCAGTCTGGCACTTCACCTTGTAAAACTAATTTGTCCTCCCAATACTTAGAGTTGTATATTTAGTTCAGGTTTAAACTCCTACAGAGACTTTTACTTGTTTCAAAGTTAGCAATACAGTGCAGAGCTAAAATTGTGCCAAAAGCCAGCAGAGTGAGGCGAGTGGGAAGGAACAGGCTTCTTAAGGATTCTTCCTAAAAAAAAAAAAAACCACTATATGAAATATTTCTGGTATATAACTTTTTTTTTTTTGGTAACTTGTAGACTCTTTTCATGTAGAGATCTTTCTCCCTTTTGTCACGGAACGAGTGGTGGCAGGGGTGATAATCCAGGAAAAAAATAGAATATATATGTTCTTAGTCACTGACTTGCCATCTTCTGGACTTCTTTTCAGGATGATTGTTCAATGGCAGAAATTACCAGAGGCACCTATTGTCTGAGGTGCAAACTCTAGAGGCAGGAGGCACCTGGACCTCAGGCAAAAACAACACTCTCTTCCAGCTCATGCCCGATTCAAGACGATAGACTATTTTCAGACTAACAGAACTTGCAGAACTTGAAGGGTGCAGAGACGGGGACAGAAATCAACTTCCAACAACACACTGTTTAAGCTAATTGTATGGGAGTGCTGTCCCAAACAGCAAATAGTCATAGCATAGCAATAGAAATGCTTGTTGATCTAAAGTTATCCTATGTTTGCTTTCTTTTGTTTCATAGGCAGCTAATCAGAAAAAAATGACAACTCTCAGCCTTCTTCCTTTTATATAGATAGATAAGTAAATACAATACTCAAGAAGTACTTAGCATTTTTATGCTTAAGTTAGTTCATTCTCCATAGCTGAAGATATCTGAAAATACTACTCATTAATTGTTTTCTTAAGTATTTTGAAGTGCTTAAGTGCATTATTACCTGGAAAATTTTCAGTAGTTTTTAATAAATAAAACACACAATTACGTAGAAGTCCCTAACAGTGTTGTTTTTCCAGATGTGACATGGCACTGATTAGCATCCATCTAAACCCTCAGAAGTCTGGTTATTTGCTCTGAGGTTCAGAAACAGGTCAGAAAGACTATGCAGACCCTGCATTTGCCCTAGTCCTGTGAGGAGCGAGAGCATATACACAAAGAACAGCTTCACAGACTCACTGGGGGACCAGTGGTTTAATTTTAAACCTTGCAGACTGCTCTCGGTGTTGTCAGCCCTTGACCCTGCAAGAGCCTTCAGCAGGGCTATGACAGAAGTACTGCCTTAGAGCTTTACTCTCAGAACATCCAGCAGCCTCATGCAAGCTGTGCGGCTGCCCTTGTTCCCCTCCTTAGAACACCTCTCTCCTTTCCCAAAAATATTTCAGAAAAAGAAGATGCACTGAGGGCCTGATTTAAAGATGTGCTTGAATTCTGCACTTGTGTGCTAAATATGTGCTTGAATAAGAGCTGCACTTTTCCTTGATTTTATCGAGGGTGTGTGTCTAACAGAAATTAATGTGCCAGGCATTTAAATCAGAATAGAATCCTTTTGAGAGAATATTAGAAGCTGGAACATGTCCTGGAAAAACACTTGGAGAAAAAGTGTTTGGTAGAAAAGACATCCCTGTAAATTGCTTTTTCAGTCGTTAATGCTGAACTGTCTTCCAATTGCACCATGCTCATACTCATGGTGCAACAACCTAAATATCTGCACTTTATTCTCTCTGTCTCACCTGGCTCACAGTAACCATGATTTTATCATTGAAGTATTTTCTCAGCAGACTATTCTACAGAGCACTGACAGCTCTTTTCTCCTTCCCTCCTTTACAGTGTCTTCCTTATATATTTTCCTTGACATTATCTTAACATTGTGTTGACATTGTTCTGACTCTTATGAAAACTTAATCACTGTAGCAAACAGCAGTGGCGAGAAGAGAAAGGAAAAGTGCTATGAAAATTACTAAAGAAAATGGTAAAAAAAAAATGCTAGTAAAAGCAAGACCTCAACAATCATATCTGAAGAAACTTAAATAAAAATTTCTATATAAAAACTTCAGTCAAGGCATCTCAAGGCAAAGTCAGGACAATTACAGATTCCATATCTGACGTTCATAGTTTCTCGTCTAAGTAACAGCCTGTTTCATTACTGTGAATTCAGGTCCTTCATGAAACCTCATGAAGGCATTGACCTACTTTAGCTCAACATCATTTAAGAAAGATATCRTCACCACAAACTCCTTTCATGCTGACCATCACCGCCACTAAAAATCTTGGGCTTACCGAATTCTGATTTTACCCGGAGTCTTTTGCAGTCCTGCAAACCACCATTTCTTTGGGGCAGAAAAGATCTGTTGGACCTCCATAAAGCTCACTTCATGACCTTCATAAAGTAGATTCAATCCAGCTAATTACCTCACATCAGTGTATACAACTATGATTTTTGCATATATGCAAACCACATGTTTTGAGTAAACAGCAGTCAAATCAATTGTAAGTGATTGAATGATACAATTTTACATCATCATAAAGCAGAGCTTTTTTCATTTTAATTCAGTGCATACTAGGACATGTTATTACTGGAAATTGAAAGCGTCATAGCCCCTGCTGTAATCATTTTCTTCTGCTTGGCTTTTGCCTCAATCTGGGCTAAGTCAGGAGAGCCGCAGATGCAGTCCCAGTATAGAGGTTAGGAGCATTTTACTTCTACACTGGTTTAAAGACCAACAGAGCACAAGCTTTGTGACCTAACACAGTAGGAAACATGAGACTATTCCTCCTCACTGTAGTATGTCCGTGTAACTACCCACCTTCTGTGATCCTAAGGAGAACACAAGACTAAATAAGATGAAGACAGCCCCTTTTCTCCTGATTCAGAACCAAATCTGTGCAGCAGGCTGGGCAGTCGTGGCAAAGGTGTATAAATTGCTGCTGTTCCTGCTCACTAAATTTGGCTTCTGAGCAATCTCTGAGGTGCTGAGATTGCACGTCACCTGTGTGGGTCAAGTTAAACTTTGTGTTTCAACACCATGACAAAATTCCTACCAATTGGGATGGAAATTTTGATCTATAGGAACATCTTTCCCCTTCTACATTTTTGATACTTAGAAGGATACCTATGTATTCCAACCATTCTATAAAATTATTTTATACTATATATTCATACATGCATGCAGCCTCTTACCTGAGAAGCGTGGTGAAAGCACATCCACCACAAGCCAAGAGGGAGCTCCTCAGCAGGGCAGGTCATGTCCCTCTGCAGCTGGTACATAGGGCTCCCTGCAGATCAGCAAGCAGAGGTTCTCCAGAGGGTGCATTCCTGCAACTCTTCCTCTCTTGTCCCCAGGTTCATTAGAGAGCAAGGAGGGCCTGGAGCTCCTTCTCTTTGCCATAGAGCCCCTCACCTTTGTCAGAGAAGTCCCATGCCTTGGTCCAGTCAATGAAGTGCAGCTACCCTGTTCCAGAGGAACCAAGTTTCCCTAGCAGGGCAGTTAGGCCAGCTAGGCCTAATCCRAGGTGCAAGCAGGTTGACCTGGTGATTGGTACTGAAGTGCTACTTACAGAGCCAAGTTCCTTCTCTGAAGTCTCCTAAACTGCAAGGCCAGGCTGGCAATGGACACCTGCATGATTTAGTGTGGAGCTGGGCTCCAGAGGCTTAAGGAACCTTAGCTCCCACCACCAGCTTCCTAAGGAGCTAAGGAGGCTCTGGGGAGCCTTGGAGCTAATTTTTAATCTGCTGACAGATGAGCACCCATCAGCTTGCAGCTGGCTCCGTACATTAACCACAGCAGGCAGAGGCCCCCATGGTTTGTGAACTGAACTTTCTCCTTTCCCAAATGTAGTTTGTGAATGCCGTACATGGAATATATTTGTATATATATCTGGCATAGATATTGAAGATTGCAGCGTAAAGAAAAATACTCATAAAAGCTTCTTGCCAGAACTTGGAGAAACAAACCTCACTCAGTTAAAATATGTAATTTTTGGCAATACTGAATAAAAATGTATGTAYGTGGAATGAAAGCAAGTTGTGAACTTGAGAAAGAGTGATTTTAGAAGAATAACAGAAATTATTAAAACAGTAGTATGACTGGATTCATTTGCTTTAGAGGAAGCTTTCTTAGATTCCTTGACACTAGTATTTGTGTTAAATTTGTTTTAAACAACCATCATATGTACCCATAGTATATGATTGCAAAGCTACTACAGGTTAGTGACTGAGGAGAAAGAATTAAGAACACTCCTAATTTTAAAGTTTTATTTCTTAGGTGGGTAATACTTGTATAATTACCCTATTACCCTAAATATTTAAAAATATTTAAATAGCTTACTGTGTAATAAGTATAACAATGATGGTAATTCGATGTTAAAGTATCTTAAATGTGTAACTTCCTAGCAAAACAAATCAATATATCTAATGATGAGCATATGATACTAAGAACAAAATGATGTAGCTTACAAATTGATGCTCATCTAATTAATTTTATGGTTATGATCATATATTGAACCAGGATAACCCAAGCTTGCTTTCTGTCAAAAACAGAATAAAGGGAAAACAGTCTGAAAGTTATTAGCAGAAATAACATGTTCCTATTTATGCAAAGAAAAAACTGAACTTTAAATGCAGCTGCCATAGATCACTTGAAAATATAGGGCTGGGTGCACTTAAGATACAGACAGGGCACAAAGGAGAGGACTCCACATAAGTGCAACCATTTTAGCTAACATAAACCATAGGCTCCATGCCCCATCGGAGAGGTGATGCTCCAATTTCCCTGGCACTTTAAAGGACAAATGTTTTAACAATTCTGCAATATTATGCGTACAAGACCCCTTGATCATAAATGGAATTAAAATTGTTACTGCAGACTGCCATGGTCAAATCAATCCCAAATTGTCTTGAGAAGATACCACAGCTGAACCTCTAATTAAGTAAGATAGTTCATTCCTTATAAGTCAGACCCTGTTTTGGTAGCACAGTAAGAAAATGACTTGTTCTGTCCACATCTATCTATAATTAATAACCCCAAAGATCAAAGGAAATGTGATCCTAGGAGAAAACTGGAGAATGCTCAGGTTTAAGTCTATTCTGTTTTTTTTTTTGGGGGGGGGGTTGGGAAGAAGGAGAGTAAGTGGAAGAGATATAAGAATAGAATTAGGAAAGGAAGGAGTGTCAAGGGGGTTAAATCTCTCRTATAATTAGATGAAACAGTTTTCTCAGGGGAGAAATTAAAGGAAAATATTAACAGGAATAATAACAAAAATGATACTACTACACTAATTACAACTGGATAATATTTATTTATTCATGCTTTCAAATTTTGTATCATTGGGTGGCAGAATCCTTACTGCCCTCATTTTGAAGGCTTGCTGAATACCTCTACAGTTCTCTGTTTATGGGAGATAGGCCCTAGTGGCAAATGTTTTAATTCTAAAGGATAGCATCACATTAGGCTCATTGAAACCAATTGCCTTTTAATGCTGTTCCTCTCAGATGAGAGGCTTATTACTATTACTTAGAGTGTTCCCAAGGAAGACTTCTGCGCATATATTGACACTGGTGAATGTTCTGTTTTTTTTTTCTTTACCTGCACCATGAAGCATCCTGCATCTTTCCAAGACAGGCATGGCTGATTATAGAGCAGACTTTCAGTTCCTATTCTTGACCTTCCTCCGGGCCAGGTCATTTCTCAAAGGACATCTTGCAGGCAAAGAACAAGTGAAAAATTTATAAATGGCCTATCAGATATTCTCGACATTACTCCTGACATACTGGAGTGTTTCCTTCCTCTTGACTCACCTAACACAGAGATCTAAGAAATGTGGGAGGATTGTTTCAACTTTCCTAGTGGGATGGAATGGCTCCACTCTATAGAAATTCGTTTTTTTTTCTGTTATCATTATGTAGGAGGCAAGAAAAGAAAATTGTCACCTCAGCAGAGCAAGGCAAGGACTGCCTTAACCTCTACTGAGCAAGTCACCACGTGACTCAGTCAGTCAGACAAATGCTATGWCACAAAAATACGCCAGGGCTGATGACTGCAGGAGGTCTGTGAGGCCAATCTGGCCTGGCCGTGTCATGAGCTCAGTACCTGTTGCTGTGAACACCACTACAGAGACTAGCCATGATGTCCTGCAGCAGAGTGAACGGCAGACAAATGACCTGCATAAATAACCATGTGTGATAATGCCAGCTCCGTGATTTGAATGGAATGGTAAGAGTCCAATTTGGGACTTAGTAAATCTGATTTTCCTTGCAGCGTTCAAAAATTAATGAATATCTCTCTGCATGGAAATAGTTTCTGCTGTCCCTCAAACTCTTTTCAAGTCAAATCCTCATATAACTGGAAAAAAAAATAGGACCTGCAGAGAAACCCGTGGTTACCTATTGACTGAGACTAACCTGGCATTTCCTGTCATGATTTTTACCTTTATGTAGTCAGCAGAGATCACTCAACTGATGCAGATCACAAAGGGGCTGGTACAAGCARGAGTACTGCTTGCTTCAGTACTTGGTCTGAAGCAGAAATTGTGTCAGAACCGGAGTCTCAGTGAGCCTGGAGGGGCAGCCTGCATTCCCATGGCTGTGCACTTCAGGGTGAGGCTAGTCAAAAGTTGGATCTGACATCTATTCTATTTCATTTTGTTAGCTTCAGCAAAATTTAATTCACAGCTGTGTTACTAAGACCCTTTTGGAGGCAATCTCCATCCTTCCTCAACATCTGCACACATCAGTACGCAGCTTTACACCTAGAAACTTTAAAACATTCATTTCCTTATGAACTTCAAAGCATAGCCCAGCACACCAGCTGGAAAAAGGAACAGATCCATGAAAACCCTTATGCATTCTGTCATGATTTTCTCCCCTGTTCTACTACCTTAAAACATATCATTTTCTAAATATGAGTTGCTACTAGAGGTTAAGTTGTGCAGAAGGATATGATGCGCATGATATAATATTTGATGGCACCTTCTGGTTTTCTGAATACTGTAAGAACAAGTGCTTGTGAACATTATGTTGAAGTCCTGACAATATTTTTTGTTATGATCCACTAGTGTAATACATTTGCCTAATGAGCATATTCATAATTTCTTGAAACTAAAATTTTACCATAATTAATAAAGACTGAAAAACACATTTTCTGAAGTCTGTGACTGGAACAGTGGATATGATAGTATCCCTCGCCAGAAGGGAAATTCTTACTCCATGTTACAAATTGGTTTGGTGCATTTTTAATAATCAGAGCTCTAAGGCTATCTGTTTTTGACTTGGAAAAAAAAAAATCACACTTGCATCAGCTTTAGAGCATTTGTGATTTTATTGTACAGAGTTACTTGTGACTATACTTCAAAATCATCACACCTTTATATGCTACTACATGTTAGCATCACGGCTGTACATCATTTTCATATCAAGGAGAGGAAGGAAGCAATGAGGATGCCTTCCCATGGTTTCCAAAAGCGAACAACAAATGGACATATAATTTGGACCTAAACTCAATTTTGTTCTCAATTTTCAGCCCCTGCACTCCAGGATCAGATCAAACAGTTAGCAGCAATTGGCAGCCTCTCTGGCCKCTCTCTCTTTCCCCTGTTGGAGGGTAAGCACAGTGGTAGGACGGCTCCTCGCATGTTCTGACCTAAATAAAACCTAAGAAGAGCCTCTGAGCAGCAGCRGTTCGTCTCTGTGAGAGGCAGGGTCTCCCAGTGCGACTTCCTTGCGGAGTCTGAGTTCAGTGGGAGCCAGGAACACAACAGGAGCAGGAAGCCTCCTCTTACACGGAGGCAAAATGCCACAAATTGCTTCCAGACTCCAGAGAGACTGTGAGACCGTGTGTCTCACAAGGAGAGCTCTGGCCTCTGTGTGGGAGAACAGCTCATTTACACCCTGACTTCCATTATTCAGAAACAGCCAAGAGCAACTGGATTTCACCCAAACTCACAGACCGACAGTTTTTCCCACTGTATTTCTGAAAATCCCTCCACTGATGGAAAGAAGTGAGCTCATGATTTCATCCTTCTGCAGCCCTGCTGGGCTCTGTCCATGTTTCCCTCGTCGCTTCGTATGTCTCTGCTTCCTAGATGGACATTCTGGCCTGCCTCCTTACCACCTGCATGAGCGTTTTGCTGTGTTTCAGAGCAAGCACTGCTGCTCTCATATATTTTCTCCACTCTTCACAGCAGCATTTGTACCCCTCAGTCGGTGGGTTATCATGACAGGTCTCAGAATGCCAGATTAGACTTCTATTAATTTTAAAAGACTTGATGATATCTTTGTGATTCTTGGGAACAAGGCAGGAGCAACCCTTTCCAAATGATTTTACAAATCCACTTGCCTTTGTCAAGGTACCCAAGACAAGTTCGTTTAGACTTGCTGAAAATCTCTCTAGTGGCAGGCAAGGCATGGTAAAATTTTATAGTATAGGAGATGATTATGACAAATTTACCTCCTTGCTAAAACACCTAAGTTTTCTCATCTGAAATCTCTTCATTTCTACAAAACTCTTATCTCACAGGAGAGATCTTTCTGTGCAAGACACATTGTTAGATGCTGTGTTATATGCTGAGG